ACACACATTACATACAGACAAAGAGTGAATTTAAGTTGACTGGGACACTTTTTGCAACCAATATGACTGGGAAAAAGTGTCCCAATCAACCTTCACCCCTTACATACAGGTATACAGACTGAATACATAAGGAACACCAATTTCCCCATTTCCATCTCATGCTCATAATTCGATTATATTACATTTTAAAATACACGTAATCAGACTACAGTTAGTTTTCTATTGATTACATGATAAAATGTTACTCACAAAAGCAGTAAATTATTCATAATTTATTGATTCTATATCTTTGCTATATTTTACATTTTCCTTAAAAAGTCTACTGCTTGTTCATTAGGTCTTCCAGGTTTGTGGGATACAGACCAGCCTGCGTCACATGCCTATTACTGAAAATAAAGACCCACACAACATTTGATCACTGAATTTATAGAAAGTTTTTTTTCTAAACATTGCATATCTAATCAACACCTGACAAAAATAAATTATTATTTTGAGTTATTTAACTCTGTGCAAAATTCACATCATTCACTATTTACATGCAATGCAGGGATTCCCCAACTTTTTTTTAGGTTAATCTAATCCCTAATATATGAAAAATATTAGATTAAAATCTAAGCAGATAATTATATCAATAATAAAATTAAGCCAATTCACTTTTGGCTAAGCCCCGCCCCCCTTAGTTACTGTTGCTACATCCGTCAAACTTCATCTGCGCTCTGCATGGCTTATGCTGTAACAGCTCTTCCTGCTGAAATGTTATCAAACTTTTATAAAGCACTAAAAGCAGCAAATAAAGTGTCCGATAGAAGTAGGCAAAGGGGGCTGCAATATGCGTTCGAAGGCTATATCCAAGACAAACAGGTGAAACGCAAGAAACAACAAGGCATCCAAAATAGAGGCAAAAGCATAACGTTACCGGTCACAGTCAAAACATGAACCACCGCATTTCCTACTAATCCAGACGGAGGCTGGGACTAACAATATCAGGGAGTAACACTGTTCATGCAAAGTTGGGTAGGTCTCTATTCACTTCTATAATCGTTATTACAAAGCAAACGCAACGCAGTTCTTGGCTGCGCTGTGATTGGTCAATCTACATTCTAGGGCGTGGCTTTAGCCGAAGGTGAATTACTAATAATAAAAGTTCACAGTCTTATGGAACAGAGACTCATAACAAGGATGAAAAGGTTAATAAACAAGTTTATTTGAGATTGGTGGGTATGCAGAGATAAAACAGGTATGCATCACTGATGGAATGATGAATAAAATACTGACAGTTCCTTTGTTGTACACAGAAGATGGGAAAAAGGTAAGTAGCCGTTGTATGAGAGAGAAGACAAAGAATCCACGGAAGGCCAGGAAGACGAAGAAGACACGGAGGATGCAGGTGGACGAAACAGTAAACGTAACATACACTATACTGGAGGTAAGTGACGAACGTATAAGAGTCTTTACTCAAACGAGACCAGGCAATAGCTGCGTTTACATGGACCCTTGTAATCGGATTGACGGCTCAATCGGACTAAAAAACCTTCATGTAAATACCTTAATCGATCCGATTGAGCTCGATCCGAGACAAGATATCGTCTATGTAGACGATCACAAATCGATTAAGTAAGTCCCGGAGCACCTTGTGCATTAAATCCTGGAATATGGAGGGGGCGTTTACTAACCCATAAGGCATGACCAGGTATTCATAGTGCCCTGTAGGGGTAATGAAGCCAGTCTTCCACTAGTCCCCCTCACATATCCAGATGAGGTTATACATGGTTCGGAGGTTTTACTGTGGGGCAATGGCTCATCCAGACAGAGGTTGATGGCGCAGTCACATGGCTGGTGTGGAGGCAAAGACAACGCCTGTTTGGGGCAGAATACGTCACTGAAGGGGGCGAAGCAGGTTGGGATATCAATTGATTGCTATTCTCCAGGACTTTGAATGGAGGTGGAGTTGATAGAAAGCCACTCATGCAGCTCATCCTACGCACCTCGGGCTTCCCTGCTACCAGCTCAGAGCCCTCACCGCTGGTCCCGCCCAGGCCAGAGCCCTCACCGGTGGTCCCGTCCAGGCCAGAGCCCTCACCGGTGGTCCCGTCCAGCCAAGAGCCCTCACTGCTAGTCCCGCCCAGAGCCCGCGCTTCATGTCAGCCACGCCCCGTCTGCCCAGCCAGAGACTATTCATATCCCGCCGCCTGAAGGGTCTTCACTGCTCATCCTGCTCCGCCCTAGAGGTTTCATGCCTTGGATAAGCCACGCCCTGGTCAGCCTTCAGGGCGCGAGGTCATGCCTTTTTGAAGGGGGGTGTTATATCACAGTCATCATGTGCACCATCCTGTCTTCGTCTTCACTACATCTCCCAGAATCCCTTGTGTCTCCAGACCTGAACTCACTCCCTCAATTACCACCTGTTCATCGTCATCATCATCTGTGTCACCTGTCCTCACCTTGTTAGTGTTCATTTGTATCTGTATTTAGTTTCCTTCTCTTCAGTTAGTCTTTGTCGGTTCTTGTTTATGTAAGTCGTTTATGTGACTTTGTCAATATCTGTGTTTAGAGTGTGGTTGTGTGTTATCCTGCCTGTCATCTTGCCTGTGTGTACCTGTGAGTAAACGTTTTGTATAATTAATAACTAATCATTTGTTTCCTATCATAAACAATTTATTATCATATTTTAAATAAACTAGATGTACAATATAAATATTGTACATCTAGTTGCCTACAACAACACAATAGCTACAAAATTGAAATAAACTATTTAATTTCATTATTTCACTTAAATGAATGTCAATTCAGTTTTGATAGTAAATATGAATAAAGGAATATTTTTTTCCACAAGCTGTGCAAATATGGATTCTTTGTACTGATCATTTACTCACACCGATAAAAAGCTACCAAGACTCAGATGGTTAAATTGACATTTCATTCATCTGCCCACAGCCATATTTGTTATCCAGTCCACCCATTGCAGGCGGACATCTGACGACCCCCTCTTCCCCAAAAATCTCCAGGAGTCTGTGTGTGGCTGACTCCAGATGTCCCAGCCTCTTTTGTTACCGTGGAGATTCAGCTGGCCACTGCCCTCTCATTAGTGTCTGCTGATCCATATGTCATGTTAAAGACGGCCTTTGATCAGCAGTGAGCAGGGGAACATTTGAGCCACCTATTTTCACAGCAGACAAAGATTAGAGGCAATCAAATGACAAATACAATAATTTGGAATATGACAAAGCTTGTTTGCAGAGTTGAATGGATGGTTCTAGTTTGTGAAGACCACCTCTGTCTGGCCTCTTCTTATTCATTTGAGCAAGAAATAAAAAGTGAAATATAAAATGAAAATAATAACATAACAGCATGAATGTATAATTATTAGTGCATGATCCTTCCATTAAATGTCACTCTCACAACATTTTGCTATCACACTGACTTTGAACTGAAGTCTTATCCCAACAGTACCTGAAATCAAATAGACAAACTTTGATAGAACTTCCTTATCAACAACTACATTTTCTTACCCACACCAAGTGATGAAAATGCATTGCCTATATCTTGACATGTTTTTTACAGTGCATTTTCCTAAACCTATTCCCAAACAGCTCATAACTTAACATATGGGTGAACCTCTTTAAATAATTTACTATTATGAATTACAAAATAAACATCGCAAGAAACAAACTACATTTCAAACGACAAAATACAAACATGTGAAATGAACGTTTTATAATCAAGCTCACAATAAGAACCCGTAGAAAAACAGAATCTGAGGAAGGTGTGAGAAAAGTGACAAAGTTTCACCAAGTCGGAAAGATCATAAGAACAACACCCCTTCCAAACCGAGTTCCCATGGAGACAAGTGGGCTGGCATACAATAGAAGAGAAAAAGAAGGAGTGCGAAAGAGAAAGGAAAAATAGAGAGAAGGACCGAGGGGCACAGGGGAAAGGAACGTAGGATGGGGGGTATAATGAGCTGTTCGGCAGCAATGTGGGCATGAAGAAAAGGGGATAAAAGAGGAAGAGTGAAGCAAGCGAAAAATTTCAGTAAAAACAATCATTTTCTTTATCCAGTTGCCCTGCTCTCTCCGCAGGTCCAAAATATTTCTTTAAATCATAGAGTAGAACACAAAAGCAGGTGTTCCTGAACTTTTCTATAGCTATAGATTACTCATTGACAATGAACCGGACTGATCGATCCAGGAAATGTCAGACGAATTGTTTCAGCAAATGAGGGCAGGACAAAAAGTACATAGAGGTGCCATTTCTCTGCTTCACATAATGGCGAGAAGGCCAAATCTGTCACAGAGGGCCGTCTCGGCCAAAGACTCCAATGTTTACTCCTCTGTTCCACCGCTTCTTGCCATGAACGTCCTTCTTTTCAGTCAGTGAAGTAAAAGAGAGGAGAAAATGGAAACCAAAGTGCATGTCCATGCCTTTCTCTTTGATCTCTCATTTGGCTACCTCACTTATTTGGAGTTATTAAAGAGTTTAACCCAAGTATTGTCTGGCGTCTCTCTGTTTCTCCCCACCCCTACTCTTTATCTCTTTCCCTTCGTGTCTCTATGGCCAAGCTTTTTTTCTGTTGGCATGGCTCCTGTTTGTTTTCAGCCATTTTGGGGACTGGCAGTGCTCGTAACAAACTGCTTAAATGGCGTCCTCTCACTCGCTCATTCTCTCCCTCGCTCCCGTTCTCCCTCCCTTCCTTGCTATCATCAGGCTTGGTGTATGTAGAGAGTGTGCATGGTGAAAGTGTGTGTCTAATGAACAAAAAAATGTTGAATAAAAAAGGGAATTGGAATTAAAATGAGGCTGTGGGGTGGGTGCGGGTGAGCAAGGGGTACGAGGCTGGGGGAGATAAAAAATGCAAAAACAGCCCAGAATCATGTGTCAGTGGCAAACTGAAGTGTGAGAGAGAGAGAGAGAGTGAGCGAGAGTGCAGGCGAGGGAAGGAGAGATAGAGCGGCAGAAGGAGGGGGAGAGTCAGAGTGCGAGAGAGTCGTCTCTGCCCTCTACATAGCGCTGCCTGTATGCACGCGCTTGTCTTTCCCTGTGTTCTCTCTCTCTCTCTCACTCATTCACGCACACGGGAACACGCAGACCAGGACACACAGACCGAGGGAGGGAAAGTGAGAGAGTAAGAGAGAGAACACATCGCAGCCGAGATGCAGCAGAAGGTTTTCCGAGGTACGTTGTCTTGTTGTGTGCTTGTCTAGCCGAGAATGGGAGCGAGAAAGGAGAGACTTTTTCCTCTGATCTATCTCTCTGTCTTCACCTCTTCCTGCTTCTTGCATTTCTGTGCCACTCTCATATCATATCGATGTTGTTTTGGTTTTGTGTAGACACCAGAAATGTGTGTGTGTGTGTGTGTGTGTGTGGGTTTGTGTGTGTGCTAATCAAGGCCTGTCTCCCTTATCCTCCGCTGTTGTGGCTGAACCACGCAGTTCTTTTTCAGGGCTGGTGAGTCGCTCCAAGATTAAAGTAAAATAAGAATAAAGCTTCATACTTTTTGCGTTCTCTTTCCATATTTATGTTCTGCTGAATTTGGATACTTTATGTTGTGGTAAGTTCACATCTGATGAAATCATCTCAATAGCGAAGGTCTCGTTTGTAAAAATAATGACCAAGAGGCGTCTTGAAATATGGAGCCCTAAACACAGCATCTACCTGTGTTTACGTATGGTGGATGATATTATAAGATGCACAATTCAATTGTGTAGCATACTTAGTGGTACACTATTAACAACCCCTACAAGGCCATAGGGTCAGAGGTCGTTAGAAGCCAAGCAGCCAAGTTGCATGGTTTTATTGAGGTGAGTTGAATATACGCCAGGGTCAAATTTAATTTACTGTCCGCTATCATGGGATATTTGTAATTGAAACTTTGGCATATGTTAGCATAAAGTTTCTGCCATATTGTAGCAAAAGAGGTATCAGTGTCAGAACGGAAACATGGCAGGACAGCTCCTCTTCCAAAACAAACTAAAACATAATGGAAGCAGGTTCAGGCATGATCTAGAGGAAGTAGCTTCAGCCAGGTCATTAGTGGAGATAGATCTCACTCTATCCGTGATTACATTTTCTTTCAGTTTTTCTCTACTTAGAATATTGTCCTTGATCATATTACAGCAACAGATTCATGGGAATCACTTGTCAAGTTTAAACTCAGTGGACCATGTCGAACACAGCATGTGACATGGGCGGACTCGCTGGAGCATGGCCCGTCATGCCAAATCACAGAGTCAGAGATACCATAAATTGCTCAGGGGGAAAGCAAGGAGTGAGGACAATCAACCACAAACTCATTCTCAGACCATCCTTCTCCATCTCCCAACTGCTTCCCTCTTGCTCTTCCAAAACAGCCTACTCCTCCTTTTTGCTCTTTTCCCTACCCCTCATCTATCCTCTGGCTGGCTCCACTAGGTTTTTGGCAGGGGGTTGTGCAGAGTTCAGTATCTAGCGACAGCCCCCTTTTCACAGTTAGCCTCACCCTGGTGGGCCCCGTCACGGCCACACGGAAACAGGCGGCCTTCACTCATTACCCTTTTTCACTGCCATTCAGTCCATGGTCTCTTTCACTAGCACAGCTAAATTCAAGACCTTTAGCCCATTATCCGGCTTCTTCCGAGCCTCTTCTCAGTTCCTAACCCACTGGTGACAGCATTATAAAACTAGCAGTCTCGTGCGTAAATTAAAAAATCTTTACCTAGCATTTACGTTCCAGCTGATGACGCAGATGTGATGCTTGTTTCCAATTTCCTACATTTGGGGGAAAGTCAACTTGCCAACCCTTTTTTTGAATTGACTTGATATAATATGTCATTTAGCAAGATGCATCACTTTAATACTTCAGCTCTAACTCTTTTAATCGGTCAGATGTTTGAGTAGAGGGGCAGTTTGAGGGGGAAGGCAAAGGCCTTGTCACGCTTGGCCAGCCTCTTGCGCCAGGAACTGTTTGTTGAGAGGCAGTGTGTGCGTCATATGTGAAGAAAAAGGAGGGTGAGAGGGAGAGATAAATGGGGACAGACGTACAGAGAAAATGAGGGGGTGGCAAATGTGTTTGTCCATTCACTATGCAATCATCATGTAAAACTGTGTCATCCTCAGGCCTTGTTTTACGCCACAGAGGCCAGTCAAAACAATTAAGTGCCGGACAGGTTTAAATAATTTTTTCAACTCTTCCTGTCTAAATATACTCTTATGCAACATCTATTATTATGCAGGACATCCTTTGCACACTCTCAGCAGCTGCATTTGTGGTGAGCTGGGTAACGCTAGTTGTCAAGCCACTTGTTTACAGACAGACCGGTTCATATGTGCCTGCACGCCTGCAAAAGTGTTTGCGTGTTGAGAGGAGAATGCTTGTGTGCTCATGCAGCTTGTTGACTGCCTGTGTGTGTGTGTGTGTGTGTGTGTGTTTCTGTGCATGTGTAAGTGTGTGTTTGTGGCTGTTCCTGTCTCCAGGCCTGGATCTCGCTTTCTTCCCCACCTCTCTCTCTCTCTCTCTCTCTCTCTCTCTCCATTGCTCTCCCTCCTCCTCTCTTTCTCTCTCTGCAATAACAGTGCTGACCTAGTTTCAGTGTGTTCAGGGCTGCTTGTGGAATTTTACAGAGGCCTGCCTGGCTAAAACGCAGGCAGAAAACCATGACTGGGGATTTTCTCTGATGTCGCATCATTAGTGATAACTAATACTGCTCTTTATTTATTGCTAACAAACAGGTTAGGCAAACAAGATGATCATTAAATAAGCAACCAAAAAGGTTTATGAATGCAACAACAATGTGGACTATTCACTCTCAGACTGCTAAAGAAAAACGGACATGATAGTCATCTGCATTCATGTTATATAGTAAAATTACATATACCCAAATAACTTAATCAGGAATGCACGATGCCTCAGTTCAAAAGGCCATCTATATTTTGGTACCTGTTCAGTCTAGGCATATTTGGAGCACTTTGACTATAAATAACACCCTGTTGGGGGAATCTTAATTAAATCTTAGCAGTGTTCAATTAGGTGAAGCAAATGCTGTGACTCAGTGGGGTTGATTGCTGAGATTCTTTCCACACTTTCAGATTTTGTCAAGCCAAATTCAGAAACTGAGATGACTGCAGCCAACCTTGTCTGGCTTGTCTGAAGTTGCATGAGTATGACTAACATAATGGATTTCTTACTTGGTGCTACAGTATTTTGCATTTTATAGCCAGCAACTTCTAGCACACTGATTTGCCATCACACATTGCATACTTTTTGTCATGTGTATTTCTTGACAGTTTAATACTAGCACAAAACTCTCTGGTGTTTGTGATTGTCTAAAATATACAATTTTTGCTGTGATTAAAACAATATTTGAAAACAAATCATTTTCGTTCTGTTGCAGGACTAAGAGCGGGGTCATGGTGTCGGGAGAGGATGGCTGGGACCCTCTCCACACCTGCGCTGCACTCTTGGAGCTGAATGTTCAATGCACGGCAATCCCCGTCCTGTTTTATACCAAGATAATCAAAGATGCACAATGTTACCTACATCTAGGGGTCGTCATCTCTGAACTGGACCTCCATGAACTGCCATCTTCTTGATCTGAAATTTCTGTTCTCCATCATCCTTCAATCGACAACTTCTGCACTGAAGATATAGCTAGAACAGACACTCTTTAAAGTCTTTCCCTGGACCTTGCTGGACTACAGATATAACCTTTGACTGTGTAGTGCTCTGTTTCTCTCTGAACATCTAAGAGAACTTGTACAAGGATCCAATGAAACACAGAAATAAACACATGAGAGGAGACAGGATGGGAGAGGGCACGGAGGAGGCAGATGGTGCTAAAACTACGAGGATATCGCTCAGTTTTCCCCTCAGTGCTGGATTGCCTGGGTTTTCTGGACAGAAGCACCGCTCTTCATCCCACCCCACTTCCTCCTCTGACGACCATGACAGAGACAGCTCAGATGGCACGGCATGGAAGGGGGAAGCATTCAGAGACAAACAGCTATCCAAAACGTCATCAAAAACTGAGCGCCTGCCATGCACTTCCACCTCCTTCCCAGTTGATCTAACTGCTCCAGTCAGTAAGAACTGCAAGCCATCTCTGTCCTTTTCTGTTGATGGAAGTGGTACCCGATCTCCCTTACAACACTCTAATAAAATGGACTGTTCAAAAGAGACAGCTGGGGTTAGTCTTAATAATGGGTACAAAGAGCATTCAACAACAGAAACAGCACACATCCTTTTCAACCTCAGCGCAAGAGCATACCAGGACCAAGGTGTAAAGGATCCAGAGAGTTCAAAAGGCAAAAAACGCAAGGCAAACAGCCTCCATGTTGAACTGAGCCTTCCTCTCCCTAGCATCAACCCTCGCTCATCCTCATCAACCCCTCCTCCTCCTCCTTCACCCGCGTCTGTCTCTCTAACTTCCTCCCCTTTGACTCTCCCCACGCCATCTTTCCATGACTCCTTTAGGGCAGTGCCGAAGCCAGAACTACTGTGTGGGGTGTGCCACCGTCTGTTCAGCACTGCCTCGTCCCTCACTGTTCACATGCGTCTCCATCGGGGGGGACGAGTACTCAGCTGCCGCCACTGTGGCAAAGCCTTCATCCATAATAAAAGACTGCAATCCCATGAGGCCACCTGCAGGCAAGGGCTGCCAGCTTTTCCAGTGCCACCCAAAGAAGAGCCCCTGGAGGAGGGTGAAGTGGAGGGGGAGAGAGCAGATGAGGCTGCAGAGCCAGAACAGCTTGGACAAGAAACAAGGCCTGGACGACCCATAAAGAAAGTGCGCGACCTTTATGCCCATCATGCTGAAGCACTGACTTGCAGGGATGCCCTGGGGGAAGAGGATCACTTTGTAAAAGTGGTGGATGGACATATCATTTACTTTTGCTCTGTGTGCGAGCGCTCTTACATGACTTTGTCTAGCCTGAAGCGACACTCCAATGTGCATTCATGGCGCCGAAAATACCCCTGTCATTACTGTGACAAGGTTTTTGCTCTGGCTGAGTACCGTACCAAACATGAGGTATGGCACACTGGTGAAAGGCGCTACCAATGTATCTTTTGCTGGGAGGCGTTTCCTACCTACTACAACCTTAAAACACACCAAAAGGCTTTCCATGGTATCAATCCTGGCTTGATCTCAAGTGAGAAAACAGCCAATGGCGGTTACAAGCAGAAGGTCAATGGCCTTAAACTGTACCGCCTGTTGCCCATGCGATCTCTAAAGAGACCTTACAAAACATATAGTCAGCCAATGGCTGATGAACTACTCACTTCTGATTCATCAGTTAGCCTGCCTTTATCTATAGATGGCAGCCTTCCACAACCTTTAGACACAAAACAATTAGAGTCTTTCCTGAAAGATCTTAAAACCCCAGACATCAAGGCTGAGCCTGAGGGATTCCCTATCAGGTTGGGTGTGGAGCAAGGTAAAAAACTAGCTTCTTCCCAAACAGACACGACAGAAGAAGCCAGAGAGACAGAGGGGTCAGATTCATGGCTGTTAGGTAGTGACAATGGCAAAGGAAAAAATACAAAGTGCCCAGAAGGAGCCGTCTCTTCAGTCATTGCATTTGCACACAGCAAACCATCAGTCATCATGCACAGCACTGCAGTTTCTTCCTCTGTCATTGTTCACAGAAATAAGATGGACTCTGAGGAGAGAAAAAGTCGTCTAGAAAATCATACAAAGACAAGTCAAAAACAGATTAGAAAACATACCCAGAGAGAGCACACAGAGGCATACAGGGAGTTGGAAGCTGTCAGTTTAGACCCAGAGGTCTTGAAAATCAGACAGCCAACAGAGAAAATTCACAAGGGACGAAAAGTTCACAATAAAACAGAGTCAACTAAGACAATACCTTTAGCGGTGGGATCGGAAGTCAAAGCCAGCGGCCCACTTTGTCAGATTACTGTGCGCATAGGGGAAGAGGCCATTGTCAAACGGAGCATTTCTGAAACAGATCTAAGGAGAGACAAAAGCCCTACGCGCAGCAAACCCAAAAAGAGTAACCAATCACAAGAGGACCAGAGAGAGCAACGGCACACCCATCACCACCAACGTAAACATCGCAACTCCAGTCAGGAAAGAAAGGAGGGGGAGTCCAAATGGAAAAACCCTAAACTCAAAGGTAAGGTGAGGAAATATTTCTTCCGGCCCGAGGTCAGGGAGGACAGAAATGACCATGATGTGGAGGACAACCTATGGAGGCCTTACTATTCTTACAAACCCAAGCGAAAGGCTCTTCATATGCAGGGGGCAAAAGCTTGGAAACGCAAAATGCACTACAAACGATCACTGAGGCCTATGAGGAGAGCTGAGAGACTCATAAAAAATTTTAATAAAGATGTTGAGAATGAAGATGCAGATGAGAAAGAGGAAAGGAGACAAAAAGTAAAGAAAGAGCAGAGAGAAATTACTGATCCACAGAAAGCTGAAGTCAAAGAAACGTCACACACATTTCCTGTCTCTTCAAGAACAGAACAGAAGGAAAAAGAAAAGGGAACTCATGGAAAGCCTGATCTCCCTCTCCCTTCATCTGTTCTTCAGGCTACACTCAATCCTCAACACACAGCATCCTCAATCATTAAGCAAAGATGGTCAGAAGATCAGGCATCTGAATGTGGAACATGTGGCCGCTGGTTCTCCAGCCCAAGGAAACGAGACAAACATGAGTTGACACATCTGTTTGAATTTGTGTGCATGCTCTGCAGGGCAACATTCCCATCACAGTCCAAGCTAGAGGAACATCAGAGAACTCAGCATCCAAAAAACAAGCCCCTGTCTGCCCCTACTTTCTTCACTTCTCAGTCATCAAAAAACGAGGTGGAAATAAAAGTGGATGAGAATGGAGTGGATGGACGGTCCATAGAGAAAGGCAGCCCAGTTCGCTTGGGCAGGAGGCCTTTGATCAGATATACATGCTCACAATGTGATAAAGTCTGCAAAACCTCTGCTGCACTCAATTGCCACCTCAAGCGACATGAGTTAGGCAGTTCAACCGAGGTTGAAGACACACAGGAAAAGCAAGACATGCCAAGCTACGCACCTTCTACAGTGGAGACTATACCAAGCAAAGGTTTAGACGCCAATTGTGAGCAAGTACAGCCTGTGTCTGTCATATATTACTCCAAACCAGACTGTCAAATCACTGACAACCAATTAGGTGAGAACATGGAAGAACACCAAAGAGTCAGAAATTGTGAAAGCCCCAAAGTGGCCACTAATGATAAAGTCCACAGTCCATCGTGTGCACAGTTTTCCCAAGTTATCCAGAGTCCCACTTTAGAAAGGTTTAACGTCATCTCTCCTAACCTCCCTAGTGTCCTAGTAATGAATGGTGCAGAGTGCCTAGACTACAGAACACCAGAAAAACGGAATTTAGACACACTAAACCAACAGAAAAGAAGCCAAACGCTGAGTGACAGGCAAGTCCAGTTTTCTCAAATGCTGACAGAGCCTCAGATTAGAAGAGAAAGAACTCCATCTGGACCCATATCACTAAAAACAGGCAGATGTTATGCGTTTAGTGAAGGTGACATTAATCCAAATGAAGATTTCAGTGATTTACAAGATGCTCAGGATCTAAGAATCTTTCCTCAACCCAGCACCCAAGCCCAAGACTTATCCATGACAACAATACTGGCAAACAAGAGAGAGCTTGATCAACAGAGTAAACATCCATCCAATATCTCAAAGGAACAGTCTTGTAATGAGGAGGTGGCGTTGGTAGTGCCCAAAGAGGAACCACTCAGTCCAATTCCGTCTCCTACATGCTCTGTCATTCAAACAACTCCAAAAGGACCTTCTCAAAGGTATTCAAAGTCACCTTGTCACTCTCCAGGACCCTTGGACCTACAGTTGCGACCACAGCTGGAACAAAGCCAATCACACAGAGGAAGGCACAACACAGAAAAACAGGGTCTTATGTTGCAAGCGAATTCAGCTGGGATGAGTGAGCCTTCTTCCCACAAACTGCTACATTCTCAAGTGCCCACACCAGAGCCCGAATCAAAGGACAACACCTCTTTCACTCCTACAGAATACCACATGGGCTCAGGCTACCCTGTCCAAGAGCTTACTCTTCCCTTGGTCCTACCTGGAGGGTACTGCTCTGGTAAGAATCAGGAAGAGCAAATCCTGATGTCTTACCCTGCTGGACCCCTACCTTTTCCATCACTTGGGAAGATGGTTTCCCATTCTGACTCTGCTAAACTGCCCTTTTACCCTGACCCCTATCAACTACTGTATGGCCCACAGCTACTGCCATACCCCTATAACCTTGCTGCCCTTCCAATGACTCTAAATATGATGGCATCAGGCGACAAAGAGCCCTTACCCTTCTTGCCTTTTTTCAATTACGCTGCCGCCCCTTTAACAGGCACAGTACCCCATCCGTTAGTAGTGAACCCCAGTCTATACAACAGTGGCGGCAGCAGTAGCACAAAGCAGGACAACCAATAAGTGAGTACACATTGGCAGCAAGGGAATACCTGTAAAAGAGCAGAGGAGGCCATTAAGGGTGGAAATTATGGTTTTCTGTTTGTTAACGGACTATTGCACAGCTCTTACTTCTCTTTTGTAACGCAACAAATGCATAGGCATACATAGGAATCAAACGTGATGGATAGATGGAGGGGTTTCTTGGAGACGAGGAAAAAAGATTATAAAGGGGTGAAGAACAAAAAATATAACGCCCCCTTCAGGCACTGCCAAGATGCACCTTCAACACACCACTTCTTTGCCTCTTCTGTAGTTTCATTAGAGATTGGATATCCATCCTCAGAATCATTATGATATTATGGATAACAGATGAACAATAACAGCTAAGAGGATGTGTGTTTTGCTAAATTAATTCCGTCTGTTTTCCACAATAAGGGCAGTATAACAACAATAATGATAATAATAGTTGTTAATTATATTGCTTGTAGTAATGCAAGGGTGGCTTATCATTGAAAGCAAAATGATCAACACACAGGGAAGGAAGATGCAGCAGCTGTTTTTGTGTGTGTGTGTGTGTGTGTGTGTGTGTGTGTGTGCGTCTGCGTATGCGTGAGTGTGTACAGAGAGTGATTTTGTATAGAGGTAATGCATGGAGACTCTGGGGTAGCTCATAGTGTCATATCTAACATTGGTACTCCAGTCATGTGTTTTTCAGTATTCCAGCTTTATGTGTGCCTGCAGGTTTGTGTAAGTGTTTTGTGGGGTGTGTTGGGGGTGTAGGCATGCACACTTAAAATCATTTGTGCTGCATCAGGCTTGGCCAGTTCCATGGAAGTTCACGCAAAAACATAATTCCTGGAAAAGCTATTATAATCTTAATAGGTCAGTAAATAGAAAACATAGATGAAGTTCTTTCGTAAGTCATAGCATAGCAACTTGATGGTGTAGCTACATGTCATATGGATTAAACATATTATTATGTGATGCCTTCACTAACCAGGATCATCATGACAAGATCAAATATTGTGATTTAGAATCCACTCTACTTTTGACCATGTTATGTATAGAGACAGATTGTGTTTCACATAGTTTCGTTTGTAGGATGTGGGTATTAATCCTTGATCATTTATGAAATAAGTTTGTGTACTTCCAATACTCCTGCCAATGGTTTAATCTCTTCCAACAACATACGTTCCAGTCGACTTCATGTTTGTGGCCTTCTCCTCCCCACTGCCCCCTGGTGTCCACCAAAGACACTCCATTCATTGACTGAATTTGAGACGTGACAGAATGGGTGAAACAAAGTGAGACAAACAAAGATTAAAATAGAGTTAGAGTGAGAGTAAAATTTGGGAGTAAAGTGGAGAAAAGTGCAGCTGGGCAGAATACATAAATGGAGCTTCCTTTATAAAGACAGAGAAAATCGTATAGGTTACTTGTGAGAGGCAGTAGTTGGTGTTAGTTTTAGGAAAACATAATCTACTACAAGCAAGCCACCATTTCTGTTGGTTAGCAAATTCTTTCTCGCAGAGAGAGACAAAAAAGGAGAGGACGTCAGTCAGTCCTGACGCCCCTGCAGGGCTTGCACTATGGGACTTATAGCACTGGAGGGGCTTGAGCTCTCCCTTGTACTTTCTTTTTGTTTTTCACTATATTATTTGTTTGATTTATATATTTTTCCATTTTTGGTAGCGAGGCAAGGCTTGTACTTGAAGCTCATTCAAGTACATAAAAATATGAATGTAATTTAGTCATGAGGTTAAAAAATAAAGATAGTTTGGTAGATAATTTCTGTACGCTGACTTGAAAAATAACATGTAATATTGAACTGCTATGGGGTATTCATATACATATATATATATATACAGTAGTCTTAGGGATATGTCAAGGAAGTTGGATTCAATATAACCACAACGCATGAGCAACAATTGCTTCTTCAGTATCTTCTGGTGTTGTCACAAAACTCAATTTTCCTTCATATGTGGTTCTTTCATTTCATTTTCTCCAGCTTTTTCTCTTGAGGCATGTACTCACAAAACTTTTTTAGCCCCTCAGTATCAAAATTTTCACATCTAAAACCAAAAAGAAAAACTCCTATGTTGCCTTATTTCTTTTCCCCAAGCATTACAAAAGCCTTTCAAATACTGCCCTTCCATCTCCACCTCTTTCTCATTCCAACACCCTCTCCCTGTCTATTCTCAATATTTTACCTTCTCCCTTTGAATTAAGTGTGAAACTGTGCAATGTAGCCACAGCACTGTTCATTTCCTGAGGGTAAAACACAATGCAATGAATGGTTGTGGATCATGTAGCTTCAGTCGGTATGAGCACAAGCCTTTTGTTTGCATTGTAAGAGTGTGGTGTGTGAAAGAAAGGTTGTGTTGTGGTAAAGGAAAAGGAAACCAAATCAAGGTCTATCTCCCTTGATAGCTACCAACAAACTTGTGTTTGACCTCTTGTTTTTGCTGTATTTTCTCCACCATGACAACATTTTTACATCAATTCTAGAAATATATAAATGAATGAATTGCATCAACTACCTGTACCATTGATTGGTTAAACAAAAATGTTAAATTTGTGTAAACGAATGTAAAAACCATTAGTAACAACCATAGAACATTTGAGAGGTTCACATAAAAAAAAAATGTAACAGTTATTTTCAGAGAATTAATAACATTGGATTTGTAAATGTATTTTTTTCCCCCATTGCATATTGAAGTCTAATTGGGTTTAAATATCGGCCCAAATATCAATTGTTAATTGTTCTGGATCAATTGTTCTGAATCAGTAACTAAATCAAAAATTCTGATGTTTACATTCAAGATGCCTTTTTATTTAAATAAGCTAATAAGTATATGCACATAATCTGAACGCACCTTACAAAGATGAAATTGTGATACCATTTTCTATAAAACATTCTATTTACAGTAAGTATTACTTGGAGGAACATCAAAATGAGTTTCATCCATCAGCAAACATTCAATGAAATTCAGTAGATAGTATGCTTAAAAGAGGCCACTTGTGACTGTGTGGGCTACTATTACTACTAAATATATTTAAAAAAATATATTAATCAGTCATCTGGATAGACTACTGAATATATTTGCACAGAAAAAGGATAGATATTTTAAAAATGCCTTTTGAGGGCATATGTACTGAAATAATCTGTCCAGTACGTTTGGTTTTGAACAATACCTGAACTACAAAAAAAAAAATAAAATAAAAAATAGCCTCTTCTTGATCCACCCAGAACAAAAAAACCTTTGGAGGCTTGAATTTTCAATCAAAGTGACTTAAATCTACCAGCTACATATGTTCTGCACTTGGTCATAGTTGTAGGCATGTGACTAAATTGTCTGGTATTTTGTGACAATGTTATATTGTGCCATTGTTTTAGAGGTCCACATTATATTTGGGCAGTTTCAAAGAAGTGAAATGTTTGAAAACTTTATTTGTGTCTTGTTGACTTTGTGACCATTTAACACAGAGGTTTGCTGGCATACATTGCCGATTCTAGTCTACAATCAACAGTAAATTTCTTTGCTCCTGTTCTCTTTACTCCCTCTGTCTATGCTACAACCATACAAAAATAAAGTATTAACCTGATGGCGTGCAAAATATCTTTGAATTCATCATCAATATGCAGTGTTGGCAGTTTTGACAACATTCCAAACTAAATACAGAAGTGCAAAAGAGAGCTCTGAATTGCAAAAAAATGTCAGTAAATTAATTAACAAAGTATGTTCCCCACTTACTTCATTACAGAAAAATATTTTGTCAGCCACATATGAAATGTAAAAATATGTGAAAATATATGAAATTTTGTGACTTTTTTCACTTAGGGTCATGAACATGCTTGCAAAATGAATGAATTCAAAAGCAACTGTACAGACCCAAGATACAAAACACTTCTTTGTTGTTTGCCAGAGCTCTTCAACTCGTCCCGAGGAGCCCCTGTCTTGCGGAGTTTAACAACTTTTTATTTTCAAAGTCTGTTAATTGTCTGTCCCACTTATTGAGCATAGACTTGAAAATGATTTTTCCAACTTAAATTGTTAAAAATCTTGAATATCACAAACTTAGGTTTGGTATATCTTTTTAAAGGGAACTTCACAGGTTATTAAAGAAGTAAAAAAAGTTGTAAAAGTAAAGTTTGGAAAACTTTATAGAAGTTCAAGTTTATGAAAATGTTAAATATGTACACTGTAAAAATGAATATGCTTTATCTAATCAATAGAATTGTGGCAACAGATTACAAGCAATATTATTAATTAAATTTAACAAATTAGAATTGAGTAATAATTAATCAAGTTATTCCTTAAAAGTTAACCAAGTAAATGAGTAAAGTTTACACCAAAAAAATTAACAAAAATATCTCACTAACAGACAGACATCAAAGATTAATTAAGAACTCTTTATTTTATATTGCCAACATTGAAGACACCTGATGTTAACAAACTGAATCACTGAAGGAGAAAAACGTAATTTTAAAACAAACCTAAAACAAACACTGATCACCATAATGATGACTTAAATTAATAGTTTTTTTTTTGTTGTTGTTGTAAATTTTATTCATTTTAAATGGTTAACTTTTAAGGTATTAATTTCATTAATAATTACTGAATTCTAATTTAATTAATAAAATTGTTTGTAATCTGTTGCCACAATTTTTTTTGATGAGATAAAGCATATTCATTTTTACAGTGTAAAATAATGTAAAATTTTGATTTTAATTCAATTTATAAAACACATAAGAATCAGAGCATGTGTAATAGTTTGGCACCAAATCACAAATGAAGAATCTATTGCTATTTATCTGTTGCTCTGTCATTTCTTTTGAAAATCAGTCTAAAAACTTTCAAATGCAGTTTGTCAAGATTACTTTGTCAAGACCGATATATTATTGCTATAAATTTATAATTGGCAAGTGTACCACAGGTGTCGGGGAGGTCTTAAAAATAGAGTTTAAAAACATTTTTATAAATCACATATTCAGATATTTATTCTTTTTAATGTATTGATATTAAAAGTTAATTATTTGTACCTGATTGTAAGTTTTTTTACGCAGTGTGATTTTTGGGGAATTGTATAGAATCAAATTAGGGTAAATCTGACTCGGGCCATACAGGCTGAAACCAGAAATCGAAAATAGTGCAAGAGAATTAATGTACGAATGAAATACTTAAAATAGTGGAACTTCAAGTTTTCAATATTAATTTGACAACTGTTGATATGATTGTTAGTTTTAGTCTGAAATATACGAAACAATGTAGCAATTTTAGCATTTCTAAGAACAAGATAAAAAACACCAACGCATCATAACAGTAATACATCAAGGTTTCACAGAGAACTGAATGAACAAACATCAGTAGCCTGTCAAAGTTCATTTGTTTTGCAATCAGACTAACTGCCAGGTCGAGGATGAGAAGAGGTAAAGTCTGCACACACAAATATATACACATAAATTACTTATAAAAATTGTATTATTTAATATTATTAGATATATTATTTACATTATTTTTTATATTTTAATTATTAAAAATATTATATATATTTCACACACATTTATATAGCATATTTATTTATTTGTGATATCCACTCTTTGTGAAAAGATTTACAGACATGTTGCTCTGGTATTAAACCAAAAAAAAGTTTTTATTTCAGTGATAAACTGTCAGAAAGAAATCTATGTTTTCATTTTTATCAGAAGTCACAAAATGTACAGTATTTGTACCTTTTTTACCCCAAAAGGCTATCCTGATGTCCCTAAATGTAAAATATTTGCACATGCACTGTACTCTACATCCATCCATCCATTCAGTCATTCATTTTTCATTTTTTGCCCTACTCTCACCAACTTTATTTTCTGTAGTCATTAAACACCATAACAAAAGCATATAACTGAATGCCGGTTCTGATAGTACACTGGTAAAATGAATCACCATGTTATCAGTATACAAAAGACCTATACACTCAAAACAAACAACGCCCAAAATCAATATTTTTTCGGTTCTGTGATGTCGACATCCTTAGTCTCTGGTCCTCTGGGGAGGCTGTGTGCTAGACTGGAGTTTAATCACTTCAATCACAGAGAAAGAGGCAGAGAGGTAGTCTGACAGCATTCGGCTAAACCAAAGCCCTCTAGCTTATGGTCGGATTCCATTATTTCTTGTTTCTACTCATGTTGTAATCTTTGGAGTTAAAAGAGAATGAACTATCTCAAGGAAGCTGTCATACTATCGTTAGGCCTGTACCTGAATCTGCTGTGCAGGAGAGTGTCAGGTGGTCAGGTGAGTATGCGATCTGAAGACAGGTCTAAAAAAAACATATATTAGTTTAAACTAGCATTTTTTCACAAGCTAGAAGATATATATATATATATACATAATCACCAAGGCCTTTGTTTTTTACTATGCAACTATGTCGAGAAACCGGTGCCTTTTAATATGTTACATATGCAAGTGAAAAACTGCAAAAGCAAATGTTACCATGCAATTTAATCATCAGATATTGAAAAGTAAAGCCTAAATGTTGACAACACACATATGAATGAAGATTCTACTGAAGCTTGACTGCTTGCTTGATCCTTTCTTACTTTACACTCAGAACTATGGCTTCTGGTAATATCAGATGAATTCGATTTGTTTAAATAAGCTTAACTTTGAAGTGTGAAATGAGTTCAATTAATGCCAAAAAAAAATAAAAATAAACGTTCTTTGCCTTTTCTTTCAGTTAAATTCTTAAATTCAATTAAATCCCTCATTGAGGGATTCAATTTGGATAAAATGTAAAGTGATATAATATGTAATGGAAATATTACATGCAATTATTCAAGCCAAATTCATTGGTTAGATATAAAATAGATATGATATAATCTCTATGATTTCACTTCAGCTTCAGACTGTGCTGTATTGTGAATAAGTAACAGACCCGTTGTTAGACAGACGCTTCGCGTCGTGCCTAACAACGCCCTTCAGCCGTTACTTATTCACGATACAGCACTTGCCTCGAGAACCTTATTGTTTTTATAAAATGGTTACCACACAATACAAATATTAAAGTAAAACATATATATATATATATATATATATATATTAGACTAGTGCAACTTTCATGAAGTAAAATAAATTACTAAAAGCCTTCCTTCCGCTAAAAAAAATAGTCCCTGACCGTGGACAGCAACAACGTTCCAATGTGTTATATGCAAGAAGCGGTCATAGCCGTGTTTTATCATGAATAAAGCACAGCTATTGATCAGAATCAAGAATTGGATCTAACCTAAGCTATTTTTTTGTAATAATTATATTTTAATTATTTAAGGAATATTAAAATCCTGAACCAGTATTGGCATGTTAAGTTAGATCATTTTGTAACAACAAAAAGAGCCATGCACTTGCTAACATGCCTGGAGCCTACATTGAAAAACCAATTACATAAGATAGAACATTGCAGGCAATGTATATTTTGAGCTGACTGGCTGGCTGGCTGGCATTGAAGCAACTTTAGCTGACAAAGTCATTGCACTGTTGGCGTATTCAACTATGAATTCGCTGAACCTTGGTTCCACACTTGCCCGGAGGAGCAGTAATTACACTGGAGGCTTGTCTGGGATATTGCAGATGCTTAGACTTAAGCAAGAGTGAGAGTAATATGTCTAAATGTAATCTAAAAATGCTTGGCTGCTGTATGATATTTAATGTGTGATGTCGAAAAACCATTCTCTGTTTTTTTTGGGATGACTGAGACAGATATCCGGCAAGGGAGTTGTCAATCTTGGACACAGACAGAGCAAATGGACTCCCTTAATGCAGACGAGCGCGAATCTCTCTGACATCACAAGGTGAGTTGGTTTGAAATCTGTGGGTTTCACTTCACTTTCTAAATCATAATTTTCAGCTTTTGTGTTTGGCTGCAGTAGTTGGTCGTCGTCTATCTAATTTAAATAGAAATAAAAACATAGTTGTAGAATTCACTGTGTTACCTTGCACATACAGCATCAGATCTTTCTTTGAGTTTCGGACCTTTGACCCAGAGGGAGCCATCTTTTATGGAGACACCAAAGAAGGACTGGACTGGTTTGTGCTTTCACTGCGTGATGGCATACCTGAAATGCAGATTGGGAAAGCAGACATCTTAGTGAGCATAAAGGGAGGTCATAAACTCAATGATGGAGCCTGGCACTTGGTAAATATTGTTTTTTTTTTTTTTAATCTCTACTGATTTCTCTAAAAACTGATAGTGTTTTAAAGCAACAACCCGTTGTATACAACTTCTGGTGGCTCTGTGAATTTTGTTTTTGAAAGATTTCGGCATTTTGGCATTTACTTGATCAAAAATTCAGCAAACACAGCAATATTGTGAAATATTGTTACAATTTAAAATAACTGCTTTGGATTTTAGTATATTTTAAAAATGCAATTTATTCCTGCAATGGCAAAGCTGAAGTTTCAGCATTGTTACTCCAGTCTTCAATGTCACATGAAATCCTTATAATATGCTGATCAATAATAATTTCTTTATATTATCAATTAATGAAATTGAATGAATGAATGAAAACAGTTGTGATGCTTAAAGAGGTGGTTTACTGCTTTTTTTCTTTGCATGATTGTGTTTATGAGGTGAAATATAACATTTATTCGTGTTTTTTCTTTTTTTAAAAGTCTTATTTTTCATAAATTTCACCTTTATTGTAAGCCGCTTTCTCCAATATACAGTATAAGAAGTGGATAGAGCCATCTCATTGGAACTCATTTGAGACAAGTGAAGCCCATTTTTAGCGATTTCTTAGCACTTCCGTTCCTGACGCGCAGACTCAAACTGACTCAAACAGAGCTTGACGACGTAGATGTGACGTGAGCAACCCGTCTGTCTTCTAGTGGCTGTGGCATGAGAAATCTGAATCATTCCCTTCCCAAACTCTCAGAGGCGAAGAGTGTGAGTAGGAGCTGTCCATGAGCTAGGAGCAGGAGAAACTTTTGCTAGGTATTTCGATCAATTATTTTGTCATTTTGCCTCCACGTTTCCCCGATTGCGTGCGAGCTTCTCCTCCTGTCCATACGATAATCTCTCTACTGTGCGACAGAGAGTTGTTTGGTTATGACGCAATCGTTAGCCTACTTTTACAAAAAAACTGCTTCTACGGGGCCATAACATAAGCTACATGGTAATGGAGCATTTTATACATTGTCGTGTTTCTTTAGAAATAAATAATGGACAAATGGAGTCTTCAAATGCCTAATGTAAAGTTATTCGCTGTTAAAGTGACGCCAAAATGAATGGGAGTCTTCACTCAAGTGAAGTTCTGCTACAAGATGGCGGCACCCGGCCGGCTTCAACTTCACGGTTCTGCATGTATGTAAGAAAGGCTGTAGAACTTCAATTTATAATTTGTTAGTTTATTGGTGGTACAGAAAACGACACAGCAACTCTTCGGCATGATTGTCCCATGTATTTCAATGAGCGCCAAGGCAATGTTTTCCCCCACGGGCTAAATTCACACCACGTGACGGGGCGTTCCCGGGGGCGTTCCCAGACCAACCGACTGTATCTATATGTTGTAGACACGAAATAGCATAGTCTACGTGGCTATAAACCAGCGATGGCATTTGATAAAACTAAAACATTACTTCTAAAATTATACATGCAAATAGGCTACATTTAAAATGATTTAGCCTAAACAAGCTGTGGCCCGACAACTGCTGTGCCTCTGGTTTTAAAGATGGAACGGCTTCATGTTTTAGTAACAGTTCCTTGTTGAATCCGGCATTGAATTCGTGGAGATTCTGGAAGCTGTCTTTCGTAAAATGTGCAGCACATCGAGCTAAATTATTATTGTAAATTTCAGGAACATAATCAAACATAAATTGTATCCACCATTGTTGACAAACTACAACCTCAGTGTGAAGCCCAAACTCAGAAGACCTGACAGCTGGGTGAACATAACACACTCAGCAGAAATATAGCCATGCCCTTTTTTGCATATTCAGGAGGGAGGGGTTGATGCAAATGTGTGTGTAGTGACGTCTAAAACCCAGCTGTAGTCCCAATCGAGTCGTTTTTGTAGGCATTAAACTTCCTGATTTTTAAAAGATGTGCTTATTGAACTTTCAGCGCTGCAACGTTGCAGATAATGTTCAAGCACCAAAAGCAAAAAATACATACTATTTAAAATGAAAAAAGTGAAATCGCAATCAACCACCACTTTAATATTTGTGTGGGAACGTTGATACCTTTTCTAAGACTCTTTGCTAATATAATTATTTGAAAAATATAAATATTTGAAATAGAAATCTTTTATAACGTCATAAATGACTTTGATGAATTTAATGTATCCTTGTGGAATAAAAGTATTTGAAATTTATATATATATATATATATATATATATATATAAATAACATTTAATGCAAATATGTGGTGTTGTTGTTTTTGAGACATCCAGAATCAACATGGCATTTTGAACAAATATCAAATAAAAATATGAACAAATATCATTTCATTAACATTCATTATGTGAACAAACATCTAAGTATTCTCTGGTGATTTTGGACAGCTCGAATTGCGGAGTGAGGGCAAATTTGTGGTGCTAGAGGTAAACAACAAGGCAGAGCTTGTAGTTGGTCTCCATTCTAAACTGACAGAAGAAGAACTAACAGGAAAGATACGTCTGGCTGTTGGTGGCATGCTGGTGGACAAACAAACGCTCTTCCATCCAGTAAGATTAATTGTATTTTCCAATAATATTCCAACTGAAAATGGTTAAAAAAAAAAAAATATGACATTGACTGACCACACATACAGTAAAACAAGCTTATAGAGGTCCTTTGTATTTTTCAGTTTCAACCAGAAATGGATGCGTGTATTAGAGGAGGGCATTGGCTAAATCTCAGCACCCCCTGGGATACAGACTCAACATGGGAACCCCGGCCCTGCTTCTCCCAGATCAAGAGAGGGAGCTATTTTCCAGGAACTGGAGTGGCTGTGTTTAATACTTCTGGTGAGTGAAAATTCATGTACGTTTAAACTTATAAGTTGACAGATAAGATGACATTTTCTTTCCATGCTTATAATCACGACAGAACTTCCTGGACTTCAGACAGAAGAGGCTGGTATCACAATCGAGATCTTCGGATCTTGGACTGGGACAGCGTTGAGTCTCCAAAGCACAGGATTTCAGTATATTTCGAAAGAGTTAGATGGGCATAAAGATGAAAAGGTAATAAACAAAAATCCATTGCAATATTAGCATTTAAACGATTAAAACTGCCAATGATTATTTCACAGAAAACTGATGTAGATTAACATCTGATCCTCTTATCATTTAAAAGTATACAGATCTATTACAAGCAACCTTTTCATTACATTAGGTTCCATTTGTTAACATTACTTACCCATTGTCAGTTAACATGAACTAACAAGGAGAAATAATACTAAAGCATTTATTAATCCTAGTTTATGTTATTTTAAAAATGTACTAATACATTATTAAGAGTATTTCGTCCCCTTGGAATTATAAGGTTCTATCTGCGTTCTGAACAGTTTAAAGATATTGAGCTTCAAAGTTTTTGCATTCCATATAGGAAAATGTGTATGGGGAACAAGTTTCTTTCAAACATAAAAATAACAGGGACCCTAAATGTACAAAACACATCACATAATGTAAATAAATTGTCACAGAATAAGAATATGTGAATAACTCAATTTTGACAAAAATGTCAGATAGAACCTTATAATTCCAAGGGGACGATTTGTTAATATTAATTAATGGACTTATGCTGACATGAACAATGAACAGTTGTATTTTTATAAACTAATATCAACAAAGATTAATCAGTACTGTAACACATGCTTTGCTCATTTTTGTTTCATTCCAGTTAATGCATTAACTAAAATGAACTAATGGGACCTTAAGTATTATCTGCATTGTAACAGGAGGTGCAGTTGGGCCTAAAAGAGGGATCGGAAACTTTTGACCTTCCCCGTGAACCTGCAACACTTACTTTTACCATTCTGAAACATTCACTTGTGGTAAACAGCAAATCAGAGCTCGAAGCGGAAAGTCTGGACTTTTTCACCATGTGGAAAAAGGGGATGCTACTGACTTTTGGGGGAATTCCAGGTAAATTTGCGAGATGGAAGTGAGCAAGAATTTCCGTGCTCAAATACTCTTCCATCTACCATCCTTGATGTTTTGTGTTGAATTTTTTATATTTAACTGTGAAGTTGACAACTTTGTCTTATCTTAGGGAGTATATTTAACAAATCTTGCTACTTAACACTGAAGTAGAGGATTTGTTAAAGTCGATTCTCAGAACTCTTTTTTTTTCCCAGGTGACAGTGAGGCGACAAAGAGTACACATCACCTGCGTGGGTGTCTGGAAAAAATCCTTGTCCAGGGCCAGGTCATTGATCTTGATCGGGCACTGTACAAACACACAGCGGTGTCATCACATAGCTGTCCTACAGAACCAATAAATGAACTTACTTAATAGAGATTCAAGGCAATCATCCTATTTAAAAATATGGAATGTGCAGGTGACCCAAAATAACCTCCAAAAATGTACTGATGGGCTCTGATGCTACTTACACTGAGCAATAAAATACATTTGAAATTAAACGATACATCTTTCTAATTTAGTCATTTAATGATTGAACAAAGGAATCCCATTGAACTGCTTACATGAAGCCAGTCTGAAAAATCCTCAGATGAGCAAATATATTCTCTTTTAACCCAACTTCTTTATTTTACAATGGATAAATGAATATCCATTTAAATATTAAATGAAACCGAGTCTGAAGACGCAGACTTTGTAAATGCAGACAGCTGAAGACGCATCTTTTTCGGGCAACACTTGATCCATTAATACTAACACTTTATCCTATATCTATATTATCTTAAAAAAATAATGCATATAGATTATACTGGGAACGGTCATAGCACTTGCATATTGTTGTTGTCCTATTGGTATTTTAACTGCTTCTATTGTTCTCATTTGATTTGTAAGACGTTTTTTTATGTAAATAAACAGAATTTAATAATATTTTGACACTATAAGTATAATTTGATATCATTACTGCTTAACATGTGTTAAAATAGTCTGCTCACAATATATTTTCCCTGAACTGTTTGTTGTGGAAGAATTGACATGGTTAAAATTGTTCATTTATATTTTTTCTCTTTGTTCATCATAGTTAAACATGCAATACTTCATATTTACATATAGTGGATTTTTGATAAGAGGACAGGACAATACTAATAAATCTATAAATAAAAGGCATTTGTAAATTAGCAAAAAAATAAATAAAGGAAAGATAAAAAAAAAATTTCATCTCATTTATTAAAATCTCGGGAACCCCCCCCCCCCCCCCAATCTAATTTTTTGGCTATGAGCTTCATAAATCAGTGATGAGGGTTTATCTGTACTCCACTGCCATCTAGAGGATATTTTCAACAAACGTAATATAGTGCCCACAAATTTGAATTGGGGCTATTTTGAAATATCAGCAAGCGATTCATTAGTTTTCTGTTCAAATTATTTCCATAGGAGACAACTCTGCTTTTAACAATTTCAAAGAACAGCCATTGATAGAATTGTTAACGTCAATATAATATAATATTATGTTATTTTATATATAACGTCAATGCAGTTCTTCATGTGAGCCTGTTGTTTAACTTACCACTAACTTTTAGAAATACCATACAACAAATTACAACAATAACATGACATACAAAAAGATAACTTAAGTACTGAAAAGACCTGTTTTTACAAAATATATTTATAATAAATTTATTGGAGCATTTTTACTGTTAATTACCACACCATTTAAATAAAGTATGGGTTCAATTCTACAAATGTTAAGGAACACCATATGGCTTCTCATTAACATCATTAGACCTGTGGGAATGGCTTTTATCACAGAATAATACTCTTTATATTTAATAGGAAATGCCCACTTATTTGAAACTGAGCTGACTGATCTAAAAGGTCAGATAAAAGGTAAATTCCTTTGTTTTTCCAACTCTGTAAATAAAGAGATTTCAGGTTTACTATAATATAAGCATTTTTCCACAAGATTGCTTAATGTGGAGAAAAGTTATGTACATAACTTAACTTCCAGGCCTTAAGAGCTTGTTGGATAATGTCACAGGCAGTTGCTAATAGAGTAATCACATAATAACAAAAAAAAAAAAAAAAATTAAACCTCCAATCTTTAAAAAAAAAAAAATATTATATGGAATAAAAAAAAACATTGAGTCTGATTTAAGAAGACAGTTTCTGAGACATTTTACTTTAAAAGTATAATTTAAATCGAAAAAATCCAAAAGCTAAAAACCACCTTCATTTCTTGGACCATGAAGAACCTCCTTTCTTAAATGATGATCTTTCCCTAAAATCAAAGGATTTACAGGCCCTATAAACTGATGCTCAATCATATCAAACGCTTTGTGGAAGTCTAAAAAAAAATTAAAGCATCTGATTCTACTAAATTTTAATAACTTACCACTAACTTCATTTGTGTTGTGACCTCTGACGTTTGATACTTTATTGTCATATAACCTATTTATCCAGTGTCATCAGACCTTGCTCGGTGTTGGTATTGTAATTTAACTTAAAATTATCTAAAATTTAAGTCTATCTAAAAATAGTGTTACGTGTTTAATACAATGTAGCATCATGCCACTGATATGCCAAAAAATATCCCATAGCCAACAAGCCAAGCGCGAACTGCCCACAAGCGGCACTGTACTGTCGCAAAACGACGCTGGTTGTCGTGCACCGCGCCGCCCGTGCGAAGATGGCGGCTGAGCTGCATCCGCGCAGCGGAAAACTGATCGGTTTGTCGAACTCCAACAGAACCGCTCAACGAAATCAGCCGGTACAGGAATTCAATCACGGCCTGGTCCTCAGTCGGGAGCCTCTGAGGGATCGCGATGTCTTCACTGTCCGCATCGACAAGAAGGTAAACAAGCATGTCTCAGCAGAGAGGGAGAGAGAGAGAGAGAGAGAGGGAGAGAGAGAGGGAGGTAGATTGATTAAGAAAAGGGTGTGAGTGTGTGTCATGTCGCTGGCAATGGTTCATTACGCATGAGGGTCTGTCAGAGCTTATTCATAGGTCGTGTGTGGTGTTTAGGTGTGTGGATGTCTCAGGACGTACGTGTGCTGCGGGATTGCAGTGAGCTGTCAAGGTTTGGATGCTGTCCTGCCTGGCTATTCCGGGACTGTCATCGGGTTAACGACATGAATCTGTTAATGTTCACAACGGTCTGGATGTACACAGCATATTTTTTGGGAAATACTACTAAATTTGTTCCATCGGAAGCCCATGTAAACATAATCACACCGTTTGATGTGCCGTTAGCTAACTTACTGGCTTGGGCTCACTCCAGTGAATCGATTCATTTGAATTCTTTGAAATTCGCTCGCTGACTTGTTCAGTGACCCTTTCAGCAGGTTGCATCTTTTACAGTGTTATGAGTGAGTCACTGATTGAATCACAAATTTGGTGAATTACAAAAAATTGAGATGACCAAAACAAGCAGAGCATGGTGACAAAGAACAAGTAGGAACGTTGTTCCAGGCCCTGTGACAAGAGAAGGGCCCACACTCATTGGTACTAGGGGAGAAGGGGGCCACACAGAATATTAGTTTAAGCCAGGCTACATGAATTTTAGATTAGTATTACATTTTTTTCCGTTTACAAAGTATGCAAAGACAAAACACATCTTCCCAACAAACTATATTCATTCCCCCCCTTCAAGTCCATACATACATAATAAATATAATTTATATATAATAATTATGTAATAATAATGCCTTTTTTTGGTTTATTCATCAAGGTATTCCAGTTTTGATGTGACATGTATGCAGCTTCTGTTGTTCTTGTCTGTTTTTTAATTCACATTTGAGGTGTTCTTAATTAATGTTACAAAATGATGGACACACCTAATCGTGCATGTGTGCGCACAGAAAGCCTCTCACATAGCATGAAATCCCAAATTCAGTTATTTTCTTTTAGCACTTAAACGGTCAGATACACACAGAATTATTTCAAAATATCTGACTTGGCTAGTATTCATATAGTGAGTTCACAGTCTCTTGAAATAAATGTGAAATAAAGTGATTTATTTCACACATGCAGTGATTATTTTTACATTTGATTATTACATTTCTGTATTATTTCTTACTTGAATACTTCAGTAATAAGTACAATTAAAATGTAAAGCACTGTTAATTTAATTTGTTTGTATTTGTTTTACTACACTTATCTTTTAATAACAAAGAAAAATAAGAAGAAATAATGAATAAATAAAATATATTATTAATCATTTAATTGGAGTAAAAGATGCAAAGGGATGCATGGAGAATTGTTTTATAATCAAGTCATTCATTACCCACTGGATCATAATCAAAACAAATTGTGAGGCTTGTACAGATTCATACTGCTAATAATAAATAGCCTACTGTAATATTACATAAAAAAATAAGAATTGTAAATTTTGATTATATGAAGACTTTAAGAACAAATTCATGTTTGCACACGACACATAGGCTATGTTGTAATTTGTTGTTATTTATTGTGATTTATAAAAACAAAAAAATCCATGGAAATTGACATAAACGTTCTTGTTCTCTGTAAAAAAATATTGTTGGTTTAACTTAAAAAATGAAGTAACCTGGTTGCCTTAATTTTAAGTTCATTGAAATGAAAAAAAATTGAGTTAATAGAATGAAGAAAATTGATTTAATCATCAGAAACTCAAAATATTATGTATTATATTATGAACTACATAAATTAAGTTGATTTGACAAAAGAAAAAATGTTTTTTTTTAGTGTTGTTATCTGTAAATGTTTTGCATTTATAGGCTTATGCTGTACATTTTTCCATCTTTTTGAACTGTGCCTTCCTCCAGTCAGCTCCTAGACAAAGTGCTTGTTAGAAATATGGATTTAGAAGAGGATGTGTTTTAGACAGATTTGATCATTGAAATGCTGTCTGAACAATTGTATGATAGTCTGAGTCTAATTTATAAAAAATGGGCTTTCAGTTTATATGGCTGTAAAGTAAACTAGAAATTAAGACTTGATAAAGGAATTGCACGGCAAAACAATATTCATATTGTGCTATGATTATTATTCCTGTTTTCTTTGTTTTCACTCTTTCTGTTTCTTCACTTAGAGGGGAAAATGACAATGAAGCAGATTACTGGTCACTTATGTAACCAGATTAGAGAAATGCGTTTATCACATTCAATGCCGCCTGTCCTTCTTCTCAGCCTGCCTTAACCCAGATACACACGGCCCTGCTCCACTGACAACCTACATACCATAAACATAAAGACGTTTGGAATGCAGTGATGAAGCAAAATCTATAGACAACATTTCACTGAGCAGTGTGAGATGGAGATGAAAACGAAGAATTTAGAGCCCGACCGACAAAGGATTTTGAAGGCCGATACCGATACAAATATTTTTAATAGATATTCCGATATATCGGCCAATATATTTTTTTTATTAAATATTGTTGCATTTCACACACGTGTAAAAGAAAAGCTAACTTTTCTGCACAAGATACGTTTGATACTTTTTCTCTATATCTAAATGTTCACTCCTCGCAAGTCTAACTTACATTTTACAATGCAGGGACTGTAACTACAGATATGCTAGTTATAAATACAGTAATCATTACTTTATTTAGGCAGAAAAAGTTAATTGTGGTTTCCAAGCTCATTAATGTTAACGTTAGCGGTCTTCCACTGATGATAGTGGCATATAGCTTTGTGGTTAGCTAGTCTATGATGAGCCATAATTTAGCAATAGATAACATCATACTGCAAATTGTAAAACATACATTTTCAATATAACAGGCCAAGGAGAGATGATTGAAGAGTTTTTCGTCTGTTTTTATTTTATTTTTTAAATATTCATTTATCGGCCATTATGACTGCCGATACCGATATTTTGGAAAAAAACCTAATATCGGACGATTATCGGTCTGGCTCTAGAATATATTATTTTATTCTTTATATACATTTACATTTATTCATTTTGCTGACGCTTTTATCCAAAGCGACTTACAATTGCTATATGTGTCAGAGGTCGCATGCCTCTGGAGCAACAAGGGGTTAAGGGTCTTGCTCAGGGACACATTGGTGTCTCACAGTTGATTTGAACCCGGGTCTCACACCAAAGGCATGTGTCTTATCCACTGCGCCATCACCACCCCCCTACATGGGACGGGTAGTTCTGCCATCTTAAAAAACTCTAATATTACCCCCTTGATTAATGGTGCGTTCTATTATACCCAACGAACCGACTCGGACCTCGGATTTGACGTCACGTCCACACTTCAAGCGTTCTATTATGTTTTGCTTGTCCGAGTCGGAGAAAGCTGTTGTAATGGTAGCACTGGCCGAGTACCAGGCACTTACATTAAAATAAAAATATTTTGACTACACCTTATCAAAACGCAGCCATTTGAACTTGAAAATGTTCACTATTTAAAGTTTTTCATGTTAATCTTCTGTTAGCAACGCTAGCAACGTTAGTAATTGCACTCACAACAACCGATTCCCATACAGGGGACGCAGTAATACGAGTCATTATAACCGTCATTTAAAATACCAAAGCGGTTCAAAAACAATGAAAACAATTCATTCTTACAAGTCACAGGGCGCAGCCATCTTGAATTCCGAAACTGAATTCTTGCTCGGTGTACTCACGGTTGTCCGACGTCCGAGAGGAGAAATCCGAGGAAAGGGGGTGTGTTGCTAGGCAACGTCTGTCGTCCGATTCGGATCTCCTAGACGGATGAATAATAGAACGCACCATAAGCCCCTCGTTCTGAAAAGCACATTGTGCTCTGAATGTTCAGCTGGACCAATGTGTTGTGATTGGTCAACTGCTTCGAGCCTGTTTCGGAAATGTCATGCCTCTTGCCATAACTGCGAATTTCAACCATAGACTAGACGTAAAGAAAAATATGGACGTAGTGTCCATGACGTCACCCGTAGCTTTCTGAAGAGCATTTTCGAAGCCCAAAGTGGGTGGAGCCAGCCAACGCATCTTGGCAGCGCGTCACCGTGCGTCTTTTTATGGTGTTGTGATAAACTGAAAATGGGCAAAGACGCGGGATTTGCTGAGGTGATGTGATGGCTAACAGAAAGCCGACAAACAGCTAGTAGTGACAGCAGCGGCAATCCACCTGTCACTCAAATGTCCACGATGCAGAATTTATGCAGAAACTTAAAATCATTAATTAGTTTTAATAAAATTATTTTAAAAAAGTTCCAGGAAGAAAATTAATGATTAGAATCAAAGCATTTCAGTGAGTTCATAAATAGTTCTTTGCTTACTAACATAGAGAATTGCTCCCTTTAGAGGGATTTTCATGCTTTAACAGCAACAGTATACACTAGAAATTTAAAAATGTGAAAAGTATAATAGGTCCTGCAAGAATAACAGGTCAAACAAGAATGGTTTGTACAGTAATGCACTTACAATGGAAGTCTGTGGGGAAGACAGTGCCCATGAACAAACATTAAAATATTGTTTCGAAAGAATAGCCAGTAGTTGAGCTGCGCGGTTAATCGTTAAAGTCCCCGTGAACCAGAAGTTGCAAACAAATTTTCTCCACTGACGTATTTCCGAGAGAATCTGAATACTAAATGAGGCAAAATAGTGGGCTAGCAAATAACTAGCATCAGGGACGTCCCACCTACGTCATCAGGGAAGGTCCTCCAATGCAGAGGGGATTTTTATTAAAGATTATGGAGCCAAAATGTTTTTGCATGTGGATTGACTTGACTGGATGAATTGTTCACCACAAAACGATCAATTTAGGCCAACAAAGTAAGTATGGTCAATTTTTAATTCATGGGGACTTTAAAAGGCTGCAATCTCGATTCAAAACACCCATTCGATCTCATTCCTAAATGACAACGATTCGCCTATGTCTATCAAACCTTTGACAAAATCACACGGGAACATTCAAATCTGTGAAGGCGCTGCAGTGCCGCTGAGCCAGAGAGCGCATTTATCATGTATAGGTTTGAAACGGCTTCACAAACAGTCTTTTCAACATCATAGTATTGTTATTTCTGTGTCACAAATCTTCATATTATCTCAGAAGACCTATGATAAAAGTAAAATCTGTAATCGGAAGCGATCAAAAGGAAGTAAATCTCCTTTTGAAACTAGCATGGCGCTTAAAATAATAATTGTAATGATTACATCATTATGCCATCATGTGAATCAAGTGAATGTTAAAAATATAATTGTCATTGAATTATTAAAATTCAAACCGATTGAAAAAAATATATTTTCAGAGTAATTAAACATTTTAAATAGACTCCTGCAAATAACATTTGTCAGAACACCTCTAGTAAATTATGTTGTTTTGTTTAGGTGTCTATTCAGAAAAAACTGATTCTCAATTTATCCAGAATCATGTAGCTCTAGCCAGCAGCCAGACGACTTTCCTGTGTTAACCATGTAATGCTCATAACCCCAGTAACTTTCGTATAATATGTGTGATAGGATACCAGAAAGGGAAGTAACCATCCACAAAGTACTTTTTCATTGAGGCTAATTCCACACACAGGACACACATTGGTGGTCTCATAAGTTTTTCTGTCTAAAACAGTAGTCTAGCTCACTCTCGCCACTAAAAGGAGGATTAAGACAGCTTTTATAGCTCCTATAACACGATTTTCAAGGGAGTCATTTCATTTCTTGAACAGAAATACGAGTTACATAGACTTGTAACTTGTAACAATGTTGGTTTACTGTAAACAAGATTCTTCTTTGTTGTTTTTTTTTTTTTTTTTTTTACATCATAGCCTATATAAACAATTGTCTTGGCTCAATAAAGCTCTATTTAAGGGAAAATACACTATAAATACACTTCCATTCAAAGGTTTTTGAAAATCCTACTAATATGCTGAATTAGGTGTTCAAATATATGTGAATCAATACAGACGAAGAAGAATTTGAGAGCAGAGAGAACATCAAATCAATGTTTCATTATTATGAAACTTGTAAGATGATATTACAGTCTAATTTAAGCTATCTGCTGGCAGCAAGCTGGATGTGAATAACAAGCAGTATAATATGGCAATGAGCATCCGCAAACAGGCAGCAACTTTCATATTTTGTGCTACATTAATAATAGCTCAAACGTTAATTTCAAAGCCAGTGTTTTATAAAAACATAAGCTGTTACCTTGTTGTTTTATAAAAACATAAGGATACCTTGTTGATGAACAAACTAAAAAGGCATTATTATTACATAGTTATTATGTATAAATACTATTTATTATTTATCTACGCTACTACTATAGTCGTCACTGATTTTGTCAATTACCAAAAAAGGAAAGACATGGGAAAGACATAAGCCATTGTATCATAATATGTTGCAGGCTAGGCTTGAACTTGATCCAGGGCTCAACATAACATGTTGGCACTAACCACTGCACCATAGTTCTGACTCTGAGATGTCTGTGATGGTTGATAAAGTGAGAAATCAATGAAGATGCTTGATTAGTTGGGATAAACGAACTGTAATTTGACTAGCATTTAACTAACATTTCTTTTCGCTTGCGACCAGGTTAACTCTTGGAGCGGTTCTATAGAGATCGGCGTTACTGCACTGGACCCAGCCGGTCTGGAATTTCCCAGCAGTGCCACAGGGCTGAAAGGGGGCTCGTGGATCGTGTCCGGGTGTTCTGTGCTGAAGGACGGCCGCTCAGTCCTGGAGGAGTACGGTCGCGACCTGGACCAGCTGGGGGAAGGGGACCGTGTGGGGATCCAACGGAACGGGAAAGGAGAGCTGCACCTGTGGGTGAACGGGCAGGACTGCGGCACAGCGGCCAATGGACTTCCTTCTCGTTTGTGGGCCGTGGTGGACCTCTATGGAAAGTGCACCCAAGTGACTGTGGTAAGCTGCGAACCACCACCTGAAATGGAAGCGGAAGAGAATGAAGAGGCGGAGGATGAGATGGTGTCGATGCAAGCGGTGTCCATAATGGCAGATGCTTGCCTTAGCCATGATGACAGGGCTGGAGTTATCATGCTGTCTGCAGCTGCTGCTACAACAGCCGTGATGAATGGATCAGCGGAGGAAGGTAAAGCTTGACCACATATTATCGAGTGATGGAGAGGTCTTCTCCATCAAGTAGTTGGGTCAATAGCGCCTTTTGCACCGGAAGAAGAACCTTTTCATAGTTTCTAGAACTATTCCTGGAAGTACTTGTTATGATTCGCCAGAAATATATATTTTTAACAAAATGCTTATTAATATTTGAAACTTTTTTTGACGAAAGATCCAAGTCACGTTGTGCTTTGAAACACCCCAAATACTTGATGTGGTATTTATTAATAAATTCATGATATTTGAATTATACGTACTGCCTGGTCAAAAGTTACTCAGCCATCACTACAGTCTTCAGTGTCACATGATCCTTCAAAAATCATTCTAATTTGCTGATTTAGTTCTCAAGAAACATTTCTTAATATCAATGTTGAAAATATGCTTCCGCAAAATGATACACTAATAATCGAATTATTCTAAACTTTATACCTGTAGTGTATAGGGGATGAAAAAATATTAAGATGTGTACACTAGCAAGTTGGAAGGAAAATATGGAAAATAATACATTTTATATGATGGTCACACCTAAGATACCACATAGACTTTTTTAAGGGTCATTCTATTAAAGCTTTTCTTAAGGTACATTTCTTTGAATACGGCACATGAATTTTTTACTTTTCAAGATTTTTCCATTTCTTTATCACGGACACTCTAATATGTCATCATCGGCCCAATTGTAATGAACAAATGCTCACTGTTTTCTTTTCTCATCAGTGCCTGAGGTGTCCAGGACGCACAGTCGGCCGGACAAGTTTCCAAACAACTTTGAGCCTGATAGTGGTACGTCACTAAAACCACAGTCTAAGTTAGCATTCGTTGTTAATCTGCGATGTCATTGTGGTTCACTATCTTTTGCTCTCTTTTTTTTCCCCCTGTTGTCCTCACAGTTTTGACTGAGCATCAGTTATTTGATGTGTTCAACAATGCCATTGTCTCTCTGTATCGTTCGGAGGATGAGGGTGGAGAGGACTTGGGGGTGGGAGGTGGAGGAGGTTGCTCTGACTCCTCGAGGGCCGGCACAGGAAGTAACGGTGGTGGCAGAGGAACAGGAAGTGATAGTGGCATTGGTGGTGGAGGGACAGGCGGAGGCAGTAGCAGCAATAGCAGCCCAGCGGGGAGCTCTGGTGGGGCAGCGGGACTGGGGGTGGCCGCTGGCGGCATGACGACCAATGACGCACTGCTGTTCCATGAGAAGTGTGGCACGCTGATCAAACTAAGCAACAATAATAAGACGGCAGAAAGAAGAAGGCCGCTGGATGAGTTCAATAACGGAGTCGTCATGACCAATCGGCCACTCAGACACAATGAAATGTTTGAGGTATGAGCCTTTACATTCGAAATGTGATGACAGCCTTTAGGTGTTAGTTGTGATATTTTTAGGAGTATTTTCTGTGGAATAAAAACTGTATGCATATAATTATATGTAGAAGTGTTAAAAGTACTGGGAAATTGTTTTTTTTTTACTTGATGTAATATCAACGTATCTATCCTTTAAAAAAAGTATTTTATAATTCTTTTTTATGGCCAGCCAGATTTACTGACAGCTTGCACCACAGCAAACCCTCTTTTGGCATTAAAAAAAACTATTGTCTGGATTTAGTAAAGGGACACAGTGATGAGTGCTGAAAAGGTCTAAAAGGGTTATTTTTGCAGCGGACCTTATTTACCTTTTAGATGCAAAATTTTAGGGAGGAGAGTATTTAAATGAATCACTCAAGGTGATTTACTAAGGTTTGAGCTAGTCAATTTACTGGTATTTGCACCATTATTTACCACCCATAAAAAGCATTTATTAAACCAGACACTAACTTGGGTTGCTCTTGGTAGATTGCGTTGGTCATTATGAAGATGTCTTGGCTGAGTCTGTGTGTGATCAGTAGATATTGCACAGAACTTTCCACTCCTATAGACACTTTTTTAGAATTGCGCTCTTGTGCTAATAAGCCTTGTTTAGTAAATCTGGCCCCAAGTATTAAAAAAAATGTATTTGCTTTTTTTTGTTTTTACTTTAAAATTGACGATTGAAATAGCTTTTAAGATTGAAATCAAGGGATGGAAAAGACTTTCTCATTAAAGTTGCTTTATTGATTTATATTTTAATTTAATTTATTTATTTATTACAAAAATTATTATTTACTACAAAAGTTAGAATTTTCTTTAATCACTGTTTTCTGCAATTTTCAATAATATGGAGGCAAGTTGTCTAAATATGTATGTTAATTATTTATTTACAAATCAATGATCCTTGTTTATTTCAGATTCGCATTGACAAACTGGTGGATAAATGGTCTGGTTCCATTGAGATTGGAGTGACAACCCACAACCCAAATAATCTCGACTACCCTGCAACAATGACCAATTTACGCTCAGGTACACTCTTTATAATCAATTAGCATTTCTCACACGACTATCTCATTTTTATTTATATTAGCGATGCATGGACTGAATGCAGTTAATGTGTCCGACAGCTCGTCGAAATAATGAAATCCCGTTTTCATCACATTCTTGTTGTCTTTAAGGCACAATCATGATGAGTGGTTGTGGGATTTTAACCAATGGGAAGGGGACTCGTCGAGAATACTGTGAATTTAGCCTGGATGAACTCCAGGTTAGTTGGCTGATGGATCTGTGAGTTTTCTGTTCATCTCATGCAATCTAATACTCAAGATGTCGTTGTCTTTTATAGGAGGGAGATCACATAGGGCTGATGAGAAAAGCCAGTGGAGCTCTGCACTTCTATATTAATGGCATTGATCAAGGTGAGAGTGGCACTTCAGATCTCAGCAATAAAAGATTCACACTTAGTTCAGAACTTTATAAAATACTTTTGCAAAATTATGTTATAGGCGTTGCAGCCAATCAGACCCCTGGTGTAGTGTATGGAGTGGTGGATCTCTATGGCATGGCAGTTAAGGTCACCATTGTCCACAACCATAACCATAGTGATCGTTTACGCCGCAACAATGCCATCATGAGGGCGCTGTCACCTGACGTGGGCCGCCCTCGGCCTGCTCTCTCGTTGACTCCTGAGCCTGATATCCCGGACCGCTTGCTTTTTCATGCAAACTGTGGGCAAAAGGCCGCTATCATCAGTGATGGCCGCACTGCTTTAAGGCCTCAGTGAGTTCATTTAATCCAAAAATATTTGAATTAACTGATCTCTACCCACTGAATTAATAGGGGCACTGCTTTGTGGGGGCAGTTCAATGATATGTTGATCTCTGGTGCAGTGCGACAGATGACTTCAACCACGGCGTTGTGCTTAGCAACCGTCCGTTGCACTCCAATGAGGTTTTCCAGGTGCGCATCGATAAAATGGTGGACAAATGGGCAGGCTCTATAGAAATTGGTGTGACGACTCATAACCCCACATATCTTCAGCTACCATCAACCATGACCAACCTGCGCTCAGGTAAGATACTGTCATAGTAAAGTACTCTTGAGTCACCTTACCTGTAGCATCAAATGCAAAATTTATGAGTGTTGTCAGATAACTAATCTAATTCAATGTTATCTCCACAGGAACCTGGATGATGACTGGAAATGGTGTCATGCACAATGGAACTACAATTCTTGACGAATACGGGCATAATTTAGACCGTTTAAAAGTGAGTTTGAAGCCCTGCTCAATCTTTTTAATTCTGTTTTCAGTCTTTTTAAGAAGCTTCACTTAAAATGATCCATTACTCGTTCTGATGTTGTTCCGAATCAATTTTCTGTGGAACACAAAAGGTTTTTTCTTTTTTACACAAGATTTTAGTGACCATTTTTGTTTTGTTTGTTTCAGCCCAAATAGAAACAATTGTGACTATATCAGTGTCTATTTCGTGCATACAACATGGATAAGCAACAACAAGTAAACATGTTAACATAGTGTGGAAGCACTTCACCATAATCAAAAAAAAATGATGCAAGAGGAGTAATATGTAATTTGGTTTGGCGGAAATATTGAGAGGCAGTAGAGCTGTACGATTCTGGATAAATTGAGAATCAAGATATTTTTTTGTGTTTCAAACAGATTACGATTCTCCCAGAGAACTAAACAAAATAACACGTAATTTACTAGAGGTTCTGACAAAAGGTTAATTGCTGCATTCCAAACCAAAAATCGGTTTGAATAAATAATTCAAAGAGATTTCACTTGTTTTATTAATGAAAGAATCAAAGTTTTTGTAACAAATCTCTTGAATGAATGATTCAATGACAAATAAGTTTTTTTTAACAGTCACTTGCATCAAAGTAATCGATAGAATCATTATTTGAAGCGCCATGTTACTGCTCTAGAGGGTTTTACATTGACGTGGCTTTTGTGAATGTTTACAGGCTGGAGATACAGTGGGAGTTGTCCGAAAGGAGGATGGGAGTTTGCATTTCTTTGTGAACGGAGTGCCTCAAGGCCCCGCGGCCTGGAATGTTCCGTCCAGCGTGTATGCAGTGGTGGACCTATATGGACAGGCTGCCCAGGCCACCATTATGGATGATATGGGTGAGAGCAACATGGATGGAGTAGAAATGAATGATGGTAGACACCTTAAAGTACAGGCCTTTAGTTAAAAATCTCTTTCTCTCTCTTTCTCTTTTAGCCGATCTCCCTCCCTTGCCTGATGACAGTTCTGAGGGCCCTACTGCTATGTCTCCTGGTAGCCCTTGCTCAGTTTCGGGGGGTACAGCTGCCAACGACCTGCGCTTTCATCAGCTGCACGGCACAAACGCTGTCATCACTAACGGTGGCCGAACGGCACTTAGGCAGAACTGCCGCAGCGAGTTCAATGATGCCATCGTCATTTCAAACAGGTTACTTTTGTTTTAGCATGATCTCTTTTAAGTGCTCGTAGATCATGCCGGTTCATCCTAATGGATCAGACGTCGATTAAATGAATATTTTATGTTTGTGTGTCTCACTGAACAGGTGCCTTCGGGATGGAGAGCTCTTTGAAATTGTGATTCAGAAAATGGTAGATCGCTGGTCAGGCTCAATTGAAGCAGGTGAGCTTTTCTAAAACACTTTGATTCACTAAAGAAACAATAATTTACTAAAGACTTGAGTCTAGTTTTGAATTTTCTCACTCAAACCACTGCCTGCTGCTGCTTCTGGTTGCTTTTAGAGGGAAAAGCTGCCTATAACTGCTGGTCTAGGATCAGTTTTCTCTGTAAAAAAAAAATAGCTTATTGGCGAAACAGATTGGCAAACAATCCAGTGCGTGTCATAGACTGTGGGCCTGTTTAGACCTGGTCACTTCATGCATTTTTAATGATCGGATAGCTATCTGATTTGTTAAAATGGTTCCTTTTACACTTGGAGACGTAGTGTCTCCACAAAACGAATATAGATCTGATCTTCAATTCCCGCGCTATATGCAAATTTACATCAACGAAAGCAACAGATATGCATTTCATTTATCATCAGCTAATTTCAAGATCAAAGACCACAATAGGAGAAGGAGCAGCATCAGCACTGGTAAGATCATTTAGTCTCACTACTTTTGATGAAGATGATTGTGTGTTGAGCATCTGTGACTTGCTTTTAGTTTCAATTGCGGCAGTTTGCGCGTCGGCTTGTTGAAGATATACTCATCCGCGGCAATGCGTGTTGCAATAGCGCTGTCATGTCTGGCTGTAATAACGTCATAGAGCCTATACGTAACATGCTCCCGACTTTTTGGGGAATTAAAATTGACATATGTGGTTTCAAAACCAGATGAATTTCCACTGGTCCAGTGGAATTCGTCTCAGTCCACCTTCTGATGTGGTTTGATGAAGGGGAACTCCGGCACAAAATGAACCTTTGGTCTAATTACACATTGTTACCTAGTCAACCGTTCTCTGAGATTTGTTTTCATGATTGACGAATGTAAATAGTTTTATCTCTAAAAACAGTTTAGCCTATAACGCTAGTATAACGCTAGTATATAGGGCATAGAGTAATGACAAATAAAAATCGCTTGTTATTACCACTAACAAGGCTCAAAATAGCCCCACAGTAACACAGTAGCATAATAAGGGTCCCTACATTCAAACCGAAGCATTGATAACTTTGTCAGTGTCCATACAGTTTAATAAGAAGATATTTTATACACACAGTAAACTTCGCGAATACAGGAAGAAGCCATCTTTGAAAAATAGTCTCTACCAGTCGATCTACGAACGCCGATCCAAGTGCGCTGGTGAGATGTGAATAAGGTGATAAAGTGAGCGCGAACAGTAGTCTACATGTACATATTGAAGAGAAGAAAATGGTTCGTGTTTGTGTTTCTTCCGGAAACAAAGGACCATATGAGATTCTGCACAGTTCAGCGCACTTGGATCGGCGTTCGTAGATCGACTGGTAGAGACTATTTTTCAAAGATGGCTTCTTCCTGTATTCGCGAAGTTTACTGTGTGTATAAAATATCTTCTTATTAAACTGTATGGACACTAACAACGTTCTCAATACTTCGGTTTGAATGTAGGGACCCTTGTTATGCTGTCGTGTTGGTGTGGGGCTATTTTGAGCCTTGTTAGTGGTAATAACAAGCGATTTTTATTTGTCATTACTCTATGCCCCATATACTAGCGTTATAGGCTAAACTGTTTTCATAGATAAAACTATTTACATTTGGCAATCATGAAAACAAATCTCAGATAACGGTTGACTAGGTAACAATGTGTAATTAGACTAAAGGTTCATTTTGCACCGGAGTTCTCCTTTAAATCCGTCCCGAAAGCATTTTGGAGGCCATTTACACCTGGTCTTTTTACAAATGGATAGCTAGCCGATCAGAGAAAGCTCATAAAGTGACCAGGTGTCAGAGATGTTATGTTAATAAGAGATTCATTGTACAGTCAGCTTAAATTATTATAACAGAACTTTGTGAGATCGCAATGAACTAAAACTGACAGCTTTTTAGTGATTATAATAGGAGCGCTCTGCACGGCAATTCCCGCATGCTTTTTCTGTTAAAATTAACAGTGGTTTATGAACGTAGATGCTTTAATAACAAATAACTTATCGGGATCGTTTATGCTGATGTGTAGGTTGTGCGGTGCACGCAGATTGAAACTATTATGCTACAAAGAAATTAATGAGAAACTAATTGTGTTGGTTCACTTACCACCTGTGATTACCAAGCAAGCTAAATCACACATTCTTTCCATGATTGTTGTTGTGAGCCTGGTCAGGATCTAGATGAGAGACCTACTGGGAAAACCAGGTTGCTGCTGGAAGAGGTGTTAGTGAGGTGAGCAGGGGGCGCTCACCCTGTGGTCTGTGTGGGTTCGACTCCTAACGCCTCAGTATAGTCCTTCAGCGAGGTCCTGAACCATCTGTAATCATTAAAAATTCCAGGATGTCCTTCGGGTTTAACCCTGGCATCCTGGCCAAATTTGCCCATTGGCTTCAGTCCATCATCCTGGCCTACTAATCATTCCCATATATACTATTCTCCTCTCCACCAATAACCTGGTGTGTGGTGGCGATATGACTGTTGTTGAATTATCCAGGTGGTTTGTGCACATGGTGGTGGTTGTGGAGATTCCCTCTTCCATGTAAAGTGCTTCAAGTGCAGAGAAAAGTGCTTTATAAATTGAACTAATTATTATTCTTTTTTGTGATCAATTTTTTATTGAATCAGAGAATATTTGGTACAGAAACAAAGGTAGACATAAACAACATTTTGAACACATTCTCTCTTTTCACCCCAACTAATTATTATTCTTAAAGAAATACTACTGACTCCCTAAACTTATTTACCAACAAATTCTACAAATCGTAGATTAACTGAAAGTTACTGGTTCATATGTTCAGGAATCCGACTATAACTAGTTGTGCGGGAAACACTTTCAGAGTTTCGTTTGATGTTCTGTCTCTATCCTTAGAAAAATATTGGTTTCCAATTCTAAACATTAATGGAACCAAAATATGTAAAAATGTAGCCCGGATCTGAAGAAGAACCTGTTGTTGATTTTTGTATTGTGCATAGGAGTTACAGCGATCAGACCAGAGGAGCTGGAGTTCCCTAATACGATGACTGACATTGACTATGACACATGGATGTTGAGGTGAGCAGTAGTTTAATGGACTTCTTCCACATTATACAGAGCATTATAATCTTCAGTCTCTGTCAGACCGATACCTTATATATATATATCTTTGCTCTTTCTCTTCTGTAGTGGCACAGCGATCATGCAGGATGGGAATACTATGAGGAATAACTACGGCTGTGACTTGGACTCTCTGACCACAGGCTCCAGGATCGGAATGATGCGTACCGCTTCTGGAGACCTGCATTACTTCATCAATGGGCTCGACCAGGGGGTAGCATGTACCGGGCTGCCATCAGGTAATTTTTAAGGGAACTAGTTCACCTAACTTTTATGGAAATGTAGCTATGTTTCCATCCACCAATTTTTATGCAAATTTTGCAGAAAAGCGCTGGATGAAAACGCCAAGATCTGCGTAAATTCTAGAAATGCGCATAAAAATCAATCGAGACGAATATTTTTTTATTTGATCCGATAAGAAGACCTGCGTATAAACTATGATAGATTTGCAGAATAAATCATTCGATGCACAACAAAAAAACTTGTGTGGCTTTACTTCAACAGAAGATGTAATTGGATAACTTAATTGGATAACTGAACCAACCAGCAAACCAACATCTAAAATGTTGGTTTGGTCATTCTGAAATGCCTGAGCGAAAGTCTGTCATCAAAATGGTTTGGTATTATGACATTGTGCCTGATGAAGACCTGAGGGTCGAAAAGTTGCTTTTTTAAATACATTTTTGGAGCAGTACCTTTCAGTGTGCAGACTTCACACTTCTTTATTTTGGTATTATGACTTCTCAGAACTGTCTCATACGATTGTGTTCTAAGACACTAGGTGTCAAGATAACATGCCAGAGTTTACTGCATTTTAGCTGAGTCATTTATGGTGTATGAAAAAAAAGCCTCACAGTGGCTTGTAAATATTTTGCACCAGCTCAAAGGAAGTGATGATATTTTTTCTCTTGAACACATAAGTGCGATATTTTAATTTTGCAAATAAGTTAAATTCGCAACTTTGGGTGGAAACATGGTGACTTTGTATTATTTAAGAACGTAGTGACATTTTCTGTCTTGTCTTTCTTTCCGCCTGTCTTTTTTTAGAAGTCTTTGCTGTGATCGATCTTTATGGTCAGTGCGTGCAAGTGTCCATTACAAGTTCTTCCGGCCCACTGGATAACAGTCTGTGCACCAGTAATATCACAGAGAAGAGCTTCCCCATACACTCCCCAGGTATTGTATTTTTCACAGTATATTTGCTTGTGAGGCTGTAGTAATTTATTAAGATTGAAGAAACCATTTTAAAATGCATTAAAGATCATTTAAACCTCTTAAAGGAATATTCCACTTTTTTTGGAAATAGGCTCATTTTAGCACTCCCCCAGAGTTAAACAGTTGAGTTTTACCGTTGTCGAATCCATTCAGGCGATTTTCTGATATTTAGAAGAGTATCAGTAACCAGGCAGTTTCTGGTCTCATTGACTACCATAGTATATATTTTTTCCTACTATGGAAGTCAATGAGACCAGAAACTGTCTGGTTACTGATATTCTTCTAAATATCAGAAAATCGCCTGAATGGATTCAAAAATGGTAAAACTCAACTGTTTAACTCTGGGCGAGTTGTAAAATGAGCTTATTTCCAAAAAAAAAGTGGAGTATCCCTTTAACATTCATGCAAAGTGTCGGAAACCAGGACGTTTTGTAAACAGTCTTTGTCACCCTCTAGTGGCAGGGGTTGCTCATCGCCTGCACACCAAACATGGTAAGAATGTGGTGTTATTAGGAGACGGTTGCCAAGCACTGAGGGTCGGAGGATATGCTCATGGAATCGTCTTTAGTGCAAAGGAGCTCAAAACGGATGAGTTGTTTGAGGTGAATATGTGGAACATGCTTAATTTAAATGAAGGGAAAAAAGTGCTAACCCATTAGTTGATCCATTAACTAACAATGAGCAATATGTAATAAGCTATGTTAATATTAGTTGATAAAAATACAACTGTTGGTTCATGTTAGCTTAGGTCTATTAAATAATATTAACAGATACTTTAATGTTTTAATAAATATTTGCAATTAACATTTGCTAAAATTAGGATTTGTGGTTAAACTTTTAGTTACATATTTTAAGGTGCTTTTTATAAGACATAATTAAGTACTGAATAATATTAACTAACTGGTTAGTAAATAAACTGTTCTTACTTTATAGTTGGGATTAGTGTTTGGTATAGGGTTAGTTGCATGTAATTATGCATGATTTATAGTTATTAACTACATGTAACTTGTAACAAGGACACGATAATATGAGGTGTTAATGTATTTTTCATTGTTAGTTTGTATTAACTAATGTGGTAGCTAATGTTAACAAATGGAACCTGATTGTAAAGTGTTACCAAAAATGGTCTTGATGTCGTTCAAGGTGAAAATCAACAAGGTAGATGACAGATGGTCCGGTTCCCTTCATGTGGGTTTGACCACCCTGCAGCCCCCTGACCTGCCATCCTGCCCTCTCAGCGGCCTCTCGCCTACGCTTACCCAGCTCAGGTCAAAGGTCACCTGGGTCCTCGCCGGCTCCGAGGTCAGACGCAACGGAGTGCTGCAGAGACAGAACTACGGCTGCTCTCTAGATCGACTCACGGTAAGAGATTTAAAGGAGTAGTTCACATTAAAAAAACTTTGCTGAAAATTTGCTCACCCCCATGTCATCCAAGATGTCCATGTCATTTTTTCTTCTGTCGACAAGGATTAAGGTTTTTGATGAAAACATTCCAGGACTCCATATAATGGACTTCATTGGGAACCAAACGATTCAAGGCCCAAATGAGAGTTTCAGTGCAGCTTCAAAGGGCTTCAAATGACACCAGGCGATGAATTAGGGACTTATCTAGGACCCTCTGTTTGAGTCATGACTCGAAAAAAGATTTGTTCATTTTGATGAACGAGTTTGAACAGGAGAGTCAAAAACGCTCATCATAGAACACAGCAAGGCGAGCATTTGAGCTTATAAAACTTAAACTTTTTTATTTATTTTTTAAATGACCAATCGTTCCGCTACATAAGACCCTTATTCATCGTCTGGTGTCGTTTAAAGCCCTTTGAAGCTGCACTGAAACTCTCATTTGGACCTTGAACCATTTGGTTCCCATTGAAGTCCATTATATAGAGTAAATCCTGGAATGTTTTAATCAAAAACCTTAATTTCTTTTCGACTGAAAAAAGAAAGACACGGATATCTTGGATGACATGGCAGTGAGTAAATTATCAGCAAAAGTTTTTTTTAAAAGTGAACTACTCCTTTAAGGCCCATTGACGCCAATAATTATTCCAAGTCTATGAGAAAAGCTATAACAGAAAATTTAAGGCAGCAGAACAACATAACTGCAGTGTGTGCTTAGAATAAACAGAACCTGTGGACACTAATATAGTTATCAGTATAGTTATTATTATGAGCAGAATCAAAATGTTCATCAGATATAAAAGTACTATGGTCATTTGCACAAAAGATTTAATAAACCAACACACAAAGGGCTAGATGAGTCAGTAAATTTTTGAACGATTGGTATCTGCTTACTCTTACACATCCCTTCTTTATTTATCGTAATATAGGTGGGAAATCGTGTCGGGGTGAAGAGATGCAGCGACGATACCATGCACATTCTCATTGATGGAGAAGATATGGGACCAGCAGCCACCGCAGTGGCGAAGGTACCAGTATCGTTCTAGGTCTGTTAGTGGAGAACACGATTTTTTAGTTGTACGCTCTGCTCACCCACATTTACACCGCATGTTTCAGAACGTGTACGCTGTTTTGGACCTGTATGGAAAGGTGACGGCCGTTTCCATTGTCAGCTCCACGCTAGTTGAGGATTCGGAAAGTGTGAAAGCTCCCTCGCTGTCGTCCGACAGTTGCAGTGAGGGAGAGGAGGACAGCACTCCTGTCAGAGAGGTGTGCCATCCCAAACCATCATATTTTGAAGCTTTATCTGTTGTATTTTTTATCTCACTCTTAACTATTTTTTTTCATCAGTGTGAGAATGAGCCTCCACTGGCGCCCACGGTCATGACGTTTTTAGAGAACCATGGAAAAAATATCCAGCTGTCCAATCAGAACCTGACTGCTGCCCGAGTGTCCAGCTACAACCAGGGACTTTTGGTCACAGCGCAAGCTTTGCCCCGACAGCAGCTCTTCCAGGTGTGTGTGAGTGTGTTTGTAAGTGGGAGACAGTGTCAGTAGATATGTTTCCATCCAAAGTTGCAAAATTGGAACATCTCATGAAGTCTGAGAAAAAAGCATTGTTTCCATACCGTGTGTTCAAGACAACAAAATCGCCACTTCCCAGGAAATTAGTGCAAAGTATCAGTAATAAAAATGGAAGTTGCTGAAATCTGGGAAGTCATGTTTCTCCATCGCTTCCTCAGTTTCAGATAGACCGCTTGAATCCGTCATGGACGTCCTCCTTGTCACTGGGTGTGATTGGTCATTCTCCAGACCGTCTCAACTTTCCATCCTCAGCTTGCTGCCTTAAACGCTCAGTCTGGCTGCTGCAACGAGACTCTGTTTTCCACAACTCGCTGAAGGTGATGTCACATCCCTTGTATCCCCCTTTTTTTCTTGTTTTACTTAATTCCTTTCATATTTATGTTCTTCATTTTATTTTCTGATTTTTGTGTGCTTAATGTCCTTCTCATTTTTTTTACTGTATTAGTATCATTCTAAACTCATTCTCTCTTCTTTCCTCAGATTTGTGAGAACTATGGTCCTAACCTGGACACCTGTCCTGAAGGGACCGTTTTAGGGCTGTTGGTGGACAGCAGTGGTTGTCTTCATCTGTTTGTTAATGGCATGGATCAGGGCGTAGCAGCCCAGGACATCCCGGGCCCCTGTTACCCACTCATTGACCTTTACGGCCAATGTGAACAGGTCAGAACAAGTAACTGTAATATCCTGTTACTAAGTAGGCCTCAACAAATAGGTTTTATTTTCCCTGCCAAAATCATAGGCAAAAATATTATTTTTAGTCATGTTTTTTTTTTTTTAATCATTCAACATTTTTATTTATTTATTGTTTGATTGACAACATTTTTACAGGCTCCTTCACAAAAAAATTAATTGTAGTACATTCTTTTTTATATATATATAATATAATTTAATAAAATATATACTTTTTAAGAAACATTGAGTTATTATTATTAGCTATTTATACGATATTTTCGTTTTACTTTCCCTGCCAACATTTTTAAAGGTCCATTATAAAAAAAGTATAAAGTAATTGTAATTGCAAAAAAGAAATTGTAAGTAAGTGTCAGAATATATGTATATTTTTATTAAACATTTTGTTACTATTGATTATTTATATTATATTTAGTGCTGTCAAATTGATTAATCTCGACTCGTGAGTAATTGCTGCTAACATAAAAAAAGATTATATTAAAAAAGATATAATGTACATGGATACACACACATGTAGTTACAAATGTTTATGTTTTGACTGCAATAATAATATTCAATATTTTTATCTCCCTAGCAACATTTTCACAATTTTGCAAAGAACTTTTTATAATATTTCTATTTATGTTTTATAACATTTTGTTATGGTAATATGTTAATGTAAATATATATACAATATACTTTTTTTTTCATTTTTCATAATAGTCTCCCTATGAAAGCTTTGTTTAGATTCACAGGAAGTGATTGTCTCTTGTTGTTGTTGTTGTATTCTTAGGTGACTATAGTGACAAATCACGTGCCGGTGGATGGTGGGGAACGAGGACACATGCGTTGTCAGGCCGACATGGAGAAGGCTGATATGGTGGATGGTGCGTGAAATATTGACCTCATGTCTTGCAGTGACTTTAGTTGTCATGTAGCTTTACCCATACATGTGTGCTGTCTGTTTGTGACAGGTATAAAGGAGAGTGTCTGTTGGACGCCTCCTCCTGAGGTCAACCCCAATAAGACGTGCGAGTATCAGGCGCTATGCTCTAGATTCAAAGAGCTGCTCACGCTACCCGGTACGACTGCATTACACCAATAAACCTTTATAGGAGCAGGAATGAATAGACCTGCTTATTCTCAATGATTTTCTTATTGTTTCCGACGGTACATTTACTAAAAGTCTTACTGTCTCGCTCCTCGTCCTATTTTTCAGATGGGTACTTTAATGAGGATGCTAAATACAACCTGTGCTACTGTGAGTCCTGTCACAAATTAAGGGGCGATGAGGCGTATTACAAGCGAGGGGAGCCTCCCAGAGACTACGCTCTACCATTCGGCTGGTGCCGCTTTGCACTCCAGTCAGTTACTTTTAATTATTTCAATTTTCAGGAATAAAGCTCTGACAATGTGCAAATTATTTAGTATCAATTACTTACAAATAGCTGTTGTCTGTATTTAACAGGATCAAGACCCACTGTGAAGTCTCCAATGCCTTCAAGAAGTGGCATATTGCGTACCATGGCACTAGTGTCGGCTCCCTTAGACGCATCCTGGACCACAACCAACTCTTGTCAGGTTCGTAATCACCAAGTTTTTTGTTGATCTGATGAAATGAAATGAAACGCGTGAAAGTGTGAATTAGAAGGAGATTGGAATATTTTTGCACAGCTGAGCTTCTCTGTGTTCCCTTGAGCAGAATCGTCCTCCATTTTCTCTTCCTCCCCGGTGAAGACAGAGGGTCACGGCAGCTACGGGGAGCCCGAGGAGAACAGCGCACCGGAGCGAGAGATTCCCCGTGTGCAGCTTTCTCCAACAATACGCTACTCTGGCCTGGAGGCCTTTGCCCCAAAAGTGCAGTAAGTCAACTGCAGTGCTTCTAAAGAAAAAGACTACCTTTTGACCTTGGATGTTAACCTATTGTAGGAGACCAAATTAGGAACCTCTTAAATAGCACAATAGTGTAACTTTAAAGGGCACCTATTATGCACCTTTTTACAAGATGTAATATTGGTCTCGGGTGTCTCCAGAATGTATTTGTGAAGTTTCAGCTCAAAATAGCCCACCGTTAATGTCATTTTGGGCCCTGTTTAAAAATGAGCTGTTTCGTGTGTATACCACCTTAAATGCAAATGAGCTGCATATCCCACGACAGAACACTTATGTTTCCAAGAGACATTATCGACTGTCGTTGAAACAATGGGGAATGGTGTGTACACAGATCACCGAGGGCGGGGTGTAGGCCACAACCACACTGTCAATCAAACCCCTTGCTCAATTCTGTCACAAAGCGCTGAATCTTAGAACAGCTCGTTCTGAGACAGTGCACATGATTTATTGAGATTGTAAAAAAAACACTGGGTGGATTTTTATCATTCTAGGGTGGTTTTGCTCACACACTGCCAACGCACATTTATGTTCAAACACCATGTAAAAGTGAATTTAATAATAATATAATGATAGGTGCCCTTTAATACATAAAATGATGACGGTTACACTTTTCTGTGCAGATTTCGAGACCCACGTTCCCTCCGCTGTCACCAGGCCCAGGTTGGCTTCCAGGTGTGTGTGCGGCCAGGCTCGTACAAAGTGGGACCGACATCGCTGGGGATCAGCGAAACCCTTGACCCGCGATTCAGCAATGCAGAAATCGAGTGGATCACCAAGGAGAAAGGAGGAACGCTCCTGTACGGACTGCTCATACGGGTGGAGTAATAAAAAGAGACTCGCTCATCTTCCTCAATATCAACCAAATTTCAGTGCTGAGGCGTTGAGGATTTTAGCATTGTTTTGCTGCGGCGACTCATTGATCTCTCTGCATGTTTCAGACATACTTTTGTGTTCGTTGCATTTAGAAGGATGGTGATAATCCCCAGAGACAGAGACACTGCCTGCACTTTATGTTTCGGACACTGGTGGGCGATTTTTAGTCTTTCTCATTAAATTCACTTGCTCAGCAGGCTCTCCATTATATTTTTCTCTTCATACATCTAAATCTATCTATCACCCCCTGTTTTTTTTGTTTGTTTTGTTTTTTAGCTTTGGGAGCCTGTTTTTCTCACAGAAATAAAACTGGACTGAAGCAACACAAAACCACCTATTCATAGCACAGCCCTTGATTTTTACTCGTGTTTTTTCTTAAGACTTGCAACGGACAAATCAACCTGGAAATAACCAAGACCTGTTTCAATGACAATGTCAAGAAATGTCAGCAACATCACCTGATCAGGAAGAGACTCATTGTTACTGTTGTTTATTTCATCGCTTTACAAATTCTGCTCTGAAAATTTGGTTTTATAGCTGTGTATTTATTCACAAATGACAGTAGATACTGTGTTTAGGGTATTAAAATGTCAACATAAAGACAAGAAGCTAAGAAATGTCTCGGATGGTTATACTGTGTGTGTATACAGTATAGAGTGAGACTCTATCTGACCCATCATACCCCTAATGTCAATTTTTCATATCAACCAAAAGTACATAATTTAACTGAATGGATGCATATAAACAAACCCCTGAAGCACTCAAAAAAGAGCTGGAGAAGAGATTTATCAAGCTATATATCTGTATTAGTGTGTCTGTTCTGGCCAAATGCGCGTGTTAGTTGTCTTTGCATCATTCGCTGTCCCATTATTTAAGGTCAATCACCTGTGGGAGTTCTTGTCTTATGTTTAACATGCTCCACCGCTTTAGACGTCGTTTACACGTGTTGTGTTCGGATTTGTCTTCTGTTCTGAAGTCCCGTGTGCTGATAAGCCCATTCGTTTACTTACAAACTTTATTTTAAGATGGTGGTTAATGGTGACTGGGACAAGAAAATGGAAAGGACTGTTTACGTTCTGCATTCAACAGCAAGGACTGTTTATATCAGGTCGATGTGCCTGAACTCATGAAGAATGGTGAGAATTGAAGCCGTCTACTCGAATACCTGATCACAGGATTGGTGTTTACACTGGGAATGTGATTTGTTTTTAATAGATTGTTTACTACATGCTAGATTTATTGCAGTTTTTTTTTTTTGTATTCTCTTATGACTAAGATTGCACAATTGTAAGCCCTTGCTGGAAAACGAGAACAACAACTAAAAATCAACTCTCTTCTGATTGTATCTAGACTTACAGTACCCTCTGTGAAGGCATATCTATCCATCTGTTTTGAGTTGTTTTTTATTTTTATTTTGTTGCCAATATGACATACTTGAGTGTACATTTCGCATTAGTAATCCCGCTTTATTGCCAAGGGCGATGTCTGAATGAATGCTTGCTATGTAAATTGGAAAATGTGAAAACACGGGGTTCACGTTGGCCCATTGCTGCTTTTTCAGTTGTTTGTATTATTTGTTCATGTTTGTATTATTATTTTTTTAATGTCTTTTCGTTGTGTTGTACAGCCTGTTACATAACACTAACATTACCTTTCTGGTTTGTAAAAAAATAAAAATCCAAAAAAGAGACAGTTATGCACAACATAACAAAAATGTGTGTGTCTTCAATTAGTTTTGGGTGACTCATGAAATTTTATATTTAAAAATAATCTCTCCCGAAGTTGTCATTACTGTAAGGCAAAAATAACCAATGGCATATCATCATTTCATATTAATTTGAATATATATATATATATATAAATATTGAGAAAACTCTCAGCAATCAATGTGTTGGGACATCACAACCCAACCTAATTAATATTTTACAATTTTTTATACCCACCAATATTTGAAAGTTTGTGGTAGATAAGATTTGTTCATCTCTTATGCTCACATTTATTTGATTTGTTTCAAATTTTAAAAAAAAGAAAGTTATTTAATTCTGTTTTTGGGGTAAAATGTGTGGTATTGTGAAATTTAGTCATCTGATGAATGGGCTATATGCACGCATAAGTTCCGCATTTGACGTAAGGATGCTCGTCCATTTCCGGTTGTGGAGATTAAAGCGGAGGAAAACCGCAGAAAACGGGATTATGGCAGAGTCTTCAATATTTACTGTCCTCCCGTCTTTGAAACGAAACGTACATACGTTTAGATGTAATTTTATATATAGTTATGTTTATTTAATATAATTTTAAAAAGAAGCATAAACACAACGAGGGGTGTCTGTTTTATCTGTTTTTGTGACTAACGTTTCATTAGTATAACCATGGAGTATAAAATTCAATATAAATTCTCGGTATTGCATTGGACTCTATGATCGGCGGAAGTTATCGAGCATCCTTAATCCTTCACCGGAAATAACGCCGTGCATAGAGCCCATTACTGAGATTTTATTGTTTGAGCGTAGTGTGGGTAGCGTAGAGCTACGTCACACGTAGGCTCACTATTGGCCGACGCTGGTCATGTGTGTGATGCGTGTGACGTACAATAACAGATCATACGCTAATAAACTAGTGACTCGAGGCAGAGAGAGAAGTAAATGAATAGTTGAAATAACGTCGTTATTTTTGTTGTTTTTGCGCACAAAAGTGTTCTCGTAGTTTGATAAACTTAAGATTGAGCCATTGTAGTCACTTGGACTATTTTAACAATGTCTTTAATAACTTTTCGAGGCCAGCAAGTTTCAATTCCTCAAGATGCCTGTGGACTAACGTTAGTATCGAGTGATCCAGCTCTCAGATTTCATCAAAAATATCTTTATTTGTGTTCCGAAGATGAACGAATGTCTTACGGGGTTGGAACAACATGAGGGTGAGTAAATATTGTCATACTATCAATTTTCATTTTTGGGTGAACTAACCCTTTAACAAATTATGTCATATTCTTGCTCTTAGACCAACATCTTAAGATTTTTGAGTTTTTGAAATATAAAGAACAACAAAAATGCCAAAAAAATCCACTTTATTTTTTTAGGAGAAGGAAAGTTCAGTCACCAACCTGTTATTGCAGTGTTGCATATCAATGTAATCAAATCTAGGTAAAAATATCCTATGGCAATAACGTCTTAAGGCCGATAGTGTTTCTATCTTCGGCTGGTTGTAGATGGTTCTTCACGCAACCATAAACATTCACACCACAAACAAGACAAGACTCAATGAGCAGAACAGTGAATGACCCTCATTAAAGTCAATCAAACGTCATACATTTTTGTATGTGAATTGTGTAGTTTCTGCGCCACTAGCGCACCAAATGGAATTGCAAACAAAATTATGAAAAATCGATTTCATGAACTACTTCACACTCTGTCAACCAAACAGAAAGTCCCGCCCCAAACTCATGCCGATGCCATTACTTGAGCCAGCTTTGCTGTCTCATGCTGGTTGTGATGCTCAAACAAACAGAGCAATGTTTTGAAATGATTTGATAGCGCCACAGAGACACTTATGAATGGTGAGGTGAAATTATTTTAAAGTTAAAAAAAATGTACACGTATCACCTCCAAGTAAATATATGCAAACAGAGAACCAGCAAACTAAAAGTGTGTTTTTTTGTCAAATTTTTGTTAATAGTTTTTTCCTTTTCATATTCTGTCAATCAACAGGGAACTTAATAAATGAAATCACACTCATCTTTTCGTTTCCTAAACGTCTGAGTTAAAAGCAAAAGTGAAATGGAAAATACTTTATATATACACAGCAAATTGAATGACAAAATTATAAGAACTCAAAGGAGATCACACGCAGATCAAGTGAAAATAAGCTGACTAGTGCACGCATACAAAAATCATTTCCTGAAGCAAAAGAAACCAAGCATAGTGCAAAATAATTCCTAAAACTCTTTTATGCTTCAAAATCATCCACACCCATCAGTTTAAATATTCAGTCACTGAACGATTTGATAAATAACAAACATATAAATACACTAATAAATACAGAAAAAATATAAAAAAAGAGCCTTCATCTCTCTTATAGTATAGAGTGAAAACTGCATTCAGATGCACTCTCTCTCTCTCTCTCTCTCTCTTACACACACACACACACACACACACACAGATTAAAAACCAGTAAAAACCATCAAGTACTTTAAAAAGGAACTCATACACAGTGAACTAGGTGCTCTCTTGCAATAAACAATCAAATAAATAAAGCAAAAAACAAATAACATCTGCCTCGTACTCCAATGCCAAGCCATTTGTTGTCAGATTCTAAACAAAGGGTGGATAATGACGCTAACTGTTATTTTAGGTTCCGTTTCAGACATGTGGGCCGTTGAAGAGCATTGAAGATCTATCCACCAATGCTAAAGGAATTATGGGCTATATGCACGCATAAGTTCCGCATTTGACCGAAGGATGCTCGTTAGTTTCCGGTTGGGGAGATTAAAGCGGAGGAAAACGGGATTATGGCAGAGTCTTCAAAATTGACTGTCCTCCTGTCTTTGAAACGAAACTTTCATACGTTTAGATGTAATTTTATATATAGTTATGTTTATTTAATATAATTTTAAAAAGAAGCATAAACACAACAAGGGGTGTCTGTTTTATCTGTTTTTGTGACTAACGTTTCTTTAGTATAACCATGGAGTATAAGATTCAATATAAATTCTCGGTATTGCATTGGACTCTACGATCGTCGGAAGTTATCGAGCATCCTTAATCCTTCACCGGAAATACCGCCATGCATAGAGCCCATTCAGGCAAAGAAGGAAGAGGACAGAAGTAAGTCCTGTAAAGTCACTAAACGCACCATGAGAAAGACAAGAGCAAATAATATGGAATGTTCTTGTTCTTAAGTGTCAGAGATGCGAGATCTGGAGTCACAACAAATCCATTCGTTTAGCATTTTTTGGGTCCCCATGCAGATGCCTGTTTCGGTGCTATTCCAGATCCAAATGTAGGGAACTCTTCAGCACTGCTCATGTCTGGTGCCTGGATGTCGCATAGAAGAAAAGAGATTGATTATGAGGGTAATTAAAGGAGGAGTTCACTTAAAAAAAGCTGATTTTGCTGATTATTTACTCACCCCCATGTCATCCAAGATGTCCATGTCATTCTTTCTTTAGTCGAAAAGAAATTAAAGTTTTTGATGAAAACATTACAGGATTTTCTCCATATAATGGACTTCATTGGGAACCAAACGGTTCAAGGTCCAAATGACAGTTTTATTGCAGCTTCAAAGGGCTATAAACGACACCAGACGATGAATAAGGGTCTTATCTAGCGAAACGATCGGTCATCTAAAAAATGATTTAAAAAAAGATTTGTTCATTTTGATGAACAAGTCGAACAGGAGAGTCACGAACGCGCATCACAGAACAGAGCAAGGCGAGCAATTGTGCTTATAAAACTTAAACTTTTTTATTTATTTTTTAAATGACCAATCGTTTCGCTAGATAAAACCCTTATTCATCGTCTGGTGTCGTTTAAAGCTGCACTGAAACTGTCATTTGGACCTTGAACCATTTGGTTCCCATTTAAGTTCATTATATGGAGAAAATCCTGTAATGTTTTCATCAAAAAATGTAAATTTTTTCGACTGAAGAAAGAATGACATGGACATCTTGGATGACATGGGGGTGAGTAAATTATCAGCAAAAGTTTTTTTTTTTTTTTTTTAGTGAACAACTCCTTTAAGCTTTCTAATACAGTGGTGAAGTTATTCTTTTAGAAATGACCTTGTTCCCTTGTGCATTCCAGGGGGCGTCCCGCACAACAAAGCCTTTAGCCAGGGCTTTGTTATCCTCGTCATTTCCTCCTGTCCCCATAGTCTTTGAAGGAGGTTTCATATAAGCTGCCATAGTCTCGGTCTCTGTGACACTCAACATCTAGGAGGAAAAATGAGTGAGTGTGAATGTAAAAGGAAGGGAAGACAAAATAGATGGAATCCATCAGACTAGAAAGAAGCATTTGCAGTGGATTGCCAACTCACATATTCTTCTTCCAGGTTAAGCAGATGGTCAATGGCATTATCAACATTCTCTGGCAGTCCTGTGACAATAACCTTGTTCGGGTCCTCAGAACCTGGCTGAGGAAACCGAATATCAACCTGGAATAAAGAAGCAAATATATATATATATATATTTATATAACATTTATTTATTATTAGATATTTATACATTTTAATACAATTATTTTATTTTTCTATAATTATATTATACTTATTAAGGTTTTATTTAATAATTTACTTATTAATTATGAAATAATAGTTAACAATAATAATAATAACAACAATCATAATAACAATTATTATGCTAAAATATTATTAATGTTGTTGTTGTTATTATAATAAATATTATTATTATTATTATGCTAAATATTAAGACCAAATGTTAGGTGTAATAGTTCAGTCACTAGTAAATAAACAGTTATATTAAATAAATGGATTTATAAATAATAATTAAATAAATAAATAAATAAACAAAGATAAATACTTTTGAACCATATAATAATTATTATTATTATTGTGATGGTTATTGTTTTTAATAATACCAGCAATAGTAGTAGTAGTAGTAGTAATACTAATAATATAATAGAATATCTAATAAATACAATTTATTTTTTAGAATTATCATTTATTTTTATACATCATAATTAATATTAATAATAATAATATTAAAATAATAATGTTATTGTTTAAATTTATAATGTTTAAATAATAATAATAATAAATACTTTTATGTTTTATTGGTGATGGTATTGATAGTTTAATAACAACAATAATAGTTCATATTAATTATTATTATTGAGGATTATATTTTTAATAGCATTGATAATTTTTGTATTATTATTATTATACTTTTAATATTATGATGGTAAATATTATGACTACCTACTCCAGTTTAGATGTTATATAGTTGTTTCTATTGGTGAATACTTATTTTATGTTCTTACTTTGAACTCCTCCATGAGTTTCCGGATTGCCTTGCCCCGGGCTCCGATGATGCGTGCGTGGACCCGCCGGTCCAGCCGGGTGTCCACACTCACCATGTCCTGCAGCGCTGTCACCAGCTGCTCTATAGCTGCCCTGGCCTCATTAGCATTCCTCTCATAACCCGAGATCACAATTGCATCCTAGAAGAGAGACAAAGACACATGAAGAAAGACGACTGACAGGAAAAGAGACTGAAATAGGATGACGGGTATGAAAGGTATGAGTTAAGAGAAAAAGCTGAGGAATTCTAAAAGGGAAGAACCAGTCTGCGTTAAACAATGAGGAAATGTCCTCTCGAAAATCTGCTTTTGAGACGCATTCTTGACTCACACATACCTGTTGCTCATCATTCTTGTCAGGGAACTGCACATTCACATCATAGTCTTTGCGTATTTGAGAGATGACGGCTCCTTTCCGGCCAATAATTTTGGGGTGAAATTTGGGCTCTACAGAGAGCGTCACCTTGTAGCTCCGTAAGGCCTAAATACAGAATTATTAAACAATAAATGAATATATATTCTATTCCATGAAGCGACTCTCACGTTGTATATATGGAAACTATGTTGTCATCATATGCCAAGTGTTGTACCCGATCTTCTTGCTCCGCCTTCAGCTCCTGGACTCTCTCCAGCAGCCCCTGTTTGGCCCGCTCCACACTGTCCACCTGTCCTGTGATCTTTATGATATCTGACTGTTGCTCAGGCTGAGGAACCCAAATGTTCACCTATACAACACAAGTTTAACTTCGTTAAAAAATAAAATAAAAGATAGCTTGTTTGATAGCAACTGTTCTATACGGAAAAGTGCAGTTCAGACATTATTTTAAAAGTCTCCGTTTGTGCTCCATAGAAGAAAATAACGTTATACATGTTTGGATCGAAATGAGGGTGTTGTAACTAATGACAGGATTTTCATTTTAGGCTAAAAGTGCATTCTGTCATGGTTGGTTGGTTTACGTCCAGTTTATAGACTTTGTTACATTTCCACATTTCGGGAAATGAAAATTGCAATGCAGTTTGTGAGCAATTAAATAGAGATAGCATATAAATCAAATGTATATAGATCAAATAGAGAATAAAATATGATTTTAGAGATTCACCGGCTCAGATTTATGGCTGGTTGACCGGTGCATCTCTAAAATCATCATATTAGAATGATTTCTGAAAGATCATGTGATACTGAAGACGGGAGTAGTGGCTACTTAAAATGACGGGAATAAATTACATTTTAAAATGTATTAAGATTAGGGCTGTCAAACGATTAATCGTGATTAATCGCATCCAAAATAAAAGTTTGTGTTTACATAATGTATGTGGGTGCACTGTGTATAATTATTTTGTATATATATACATAAATACACACACATGCATGTATATTTAGGGAAAAAAATTATATTTATATAAAAAATATATAATATCAATTTTATATAAATCTATATACTGTATATACACCAAATATTTCTTAAATATATACGAGCATGTGTGTGTATTTATACATATATAATAATTATACACAGTGCACCCACATATATGATGTAAACACAAACTTTTATTTTGGATGCGATTAATCGTTTGACAGCTCTAATTAAGATATATATATAAAAGAAATGAATGCAGGCTTGGCAAGCATAAAAGACTTCTTTTAAAAGTATAAAACCTCCAAACCGACCATTTGAACAGTAATGAACAAAGTACCATTCAATATGTCTCTACCTCATACTCCTCCATCATTTTTCTTATTCCAATTCCTTTCTGTCCTATAATGTATCGATGAAGGTCATAGGGAACTTCAACATCAATCGTCACAGGAACTAAGGCCTTGAGTGTAAAAAGAAGAGAAAGGAAAAGGCAGGATAAAGAGGATCAAAACCAAATCCACAAAAGGACAAAAGGGAGCGCCGAAATTCCAGAATTCCTTACCAGTAAAGCTGCACGAGCCAACTCACACTTTTCGGCATGACCCGTCACAGCGATGATATCGCATTTCCGAGGGATGAAGTCCGTATCTCCATTCTCCTGAGGTTCCTGAGCTACAAGCCAGAAATAAAACAAAAAATTACAGCTGTCTTCATCAATAAACAGAATGACAAAGTATCTGAGCTAATTTGAGAGTGTAAGGAAGAGACCTGCAGACTCATCTCTGTCTGGAAATTTGATCTGGACTTCATGTTCCCGTGTAATTTGTTGTATTCGGCAGCCTTTGGGTCCCATGATGGCTCTGTGGTATCGCTGAGGAATCAACACCTCCACACTCACCTGTGACTCCTGAAGACACACCAGCAGAAGATAAAGGTCAATGAGTGGAATGTGTCAGTGTTTCTTCTCTGAGACTTCCTTCAGAAAAGTGGGCTACATACAATACCGCTCAAGAGTTTGGGGTCAGTAAGATTCTTTAATGTTTTTGAAAGCAAATCTTACTCACCCCAAACTTTTAAACAGTAGTGTATAAACTAATCTTGGCAGACAAGCCAATGACAATACATGCAGAAAACAATTCCAGTATTGATCACAATACGAATCCATTCACGCTTCAACAAAAACGCAATCTAAAGGCAGTCCAAAAATGGATTCGAAACTCACCAGATCTCGAACAATCTCCTGAATGCGTTTCTTAGCAGCGTCCACACACTCTCTGGGTCCTTTGAGAGTGACGCTGTCACTGTGAGTGCCCGTGCGAGGGAAGCTAACGGCTACGCCTCCATACTCCTCCGCCAACTCTCTCAACACCTGCCCTCTTCGACAGACGAAGTGACGGTGATGCCGGGGCTCCACGATCATACTGTCCTCTATCACATCATCCTGAGAGAAAGCACAGATGAACTGAAGGAAGTGCATATAAAGAAAATTTCAAAAACACAACTTTCTCTTCTGTCATACCAGATTTTTGATGAGGGTCTCCAGCTCTCTCTGGGCGAGCCACACAGCCTCCTCTTTACCCATGATGGTAATGTTCTCCTGTTCTTGCTCATCTGGTGATGGGAAGATGATCCGTGCTCCGGTTCGATCCCGTACGCGTCGGATATTAGCTCCTCCTCTACCTATCAAGAACTTGTGGTATTCCGCCTTGGCTTGAAGCTCCACTGAGAAGTTGTTGACTTGCTGGTGGGACAAAAGACTGTCTCACATAGATTGAAATGTCTCAGATAGATTGAAAAACTGGAAATATAACAGCGTTTCCTGCAATGCTGTCTTTTTTTTTGCTTTACTGTTGTACATCTTCATCCCATTACTCACCTTCTCTTCCGCCAGTTGCAACAGTTGTCTCTTGGCTCTCTCCACCTCCTCTGCAGGACCTCGGATTGTGACCTTGTCCAACCCTGAGCCCTCCGCAGGGAAGTGGATATGAACACCCCCACACTCTTCCATTATGGAGCGCACCAGACTGCCTTTGGATCCAATCAGAGAGTTATGCAGCTTGGCTGGAATGGAAACTTCAGCCTCCTTCAGGTTGGCCTGGGACAATTGGAAGATAAAGCGAGAAAGTGAGAGAGATGAAAAACTAAGAGTACTGGGAATTACACCTCTAACACATTCTCTAACCAGCTCATTTCGAATAGCGAGGATCCGATCTCGTGCGGCTTCACAGCTGCTCTTCTTGCCTGTGATCACAATCATCTCAGAGTTGCTGTTTTCCGTTGGAAGATCAATCTTGGTGTTGGTCTCCTCACGTATCTATATAGATTTACACAGCAACATAATCTCTCTCATTAAATAACAAGTTCACTCAAAAAATAAAATAAAAATGTAATTACTTATTCACACTCTGAATGTTGTATTTCCTTTCAACTTTCACAGTGTTAACAATTATCAGTAAGAACCAGTGTTGTTCTTGATAAGTAAAACTAAAACTATTAAAATAGTTTTAGTAATTGAAATAAAGATGAAATAAATACAAATACTGAAAAGACTATAGATTTTAGATTTTAAAAAACATAGAAATGTTTAAAATTAGAAACTGAAATAAATAATTTTAAAGTAATCAAATTAAAATCGAAAAAGCTATTTCTTTATATTATAAAAAACGAATAAAATAAATATAAAACACATTAAAATTAATAAAATAAGAAAAAACTAAAACATACTTTAATATAAATATCAATAAATATTATAATAAAAAATACAAAACATATAAAACATATATACAGTTCACAGCAGTTTTATTTTAATATTTTGTCATCATAATTATATATATATATATATATAATACATACATTATTATGATGAAAAAATATTAAAATAAAATTGCTGTCATTGTATGGAAAGTCAATATGAAAGATTCTTCATAATGTTCAATTCCAAATATTTGTCCCGCAGAAGAAAGAAAATCATTTTTGGAACAACATGATGAGCATGATTAAATGACAGAATATTCAGTTTTGGGTGAACTATCCCTTTAAATGATTATTAATTCTGTTACAGTATTTAAAAAGTTATCTTTACAAATCTAAATAAAATGGCTGATTCTTCACCTTTTTAATGTTGGCACCTCCTTTGCCAATGATGTTTTTGTGAAACTGCTTGTGAATGGGTACAGAAATTGAGAAGCTGCTCTCAACCTAATGAAAGGATAAACATTTAATTAGTTTTTGAATTTTTTTTGTAAAAAACAGTCAATATACCATCAACACAGACTAAATTAGCATTGCAGGAAAAACAAACAAACTAATTCATCATCACTAGGTAGATAAATAATAATTCCACAGCTTCCTGAACACGTTATAGCTGCTGTATTATGTATTATTATTATTTTTTTTTTTGATGTTTTTTTAGAGCAGGAAGCAAGCAAGAGGAAATAACACTTGTACCAGCTCAGCGATGAGTTTCTGCAGAAACTTTGCACATTTCTCCACCTCGTTTTTAGGCCCTCGGAGCTGCACTATGTCACTTTTTTGTTGCTGGTCTGGAAATATGATAATGACCTGCAGAAATTAAACCAAAGGCATCTGTATGAAATCATATATCAAACTTGTAGCAGAATATGACTGTATGCGTTTTACAAAATTAATCTATGAGGACCTCAGGGAACTTGTCCCGCACTTCTCTGATCTTCTCTCCTTTCTGCCCAATGATGGTACGGTGAAACTTCTGCTCTATGATCAGGTCTTTTGTGCGTTCATTTTCCTACAGTGTCAAAAATGCTAGAAAATTACAAACCTTTAACCATGCAGATGGGTTCATAATGTCATATATAGAATGCCTTTGTTCTACCATACAGTACGTCTCACCATACGCTGGGCCATGTCCATCAGTTCTTTGCGAGCGAGCTGTACGCCCTGAGGATCGCCCTCGATACGAACCAACCCACAGCGCTCAGAGTCCTGAGGAATTCTCACTGATACCTTATATTGCTCCTTTATCCGATTTACTAAGGAAAAGCAGCAAAAAAAATATTTAAAAAAAAATGCATCTTCTCTGTTGATTGATCAAAACGACTGTAACAAATATGTTATGGATAGGTCAAGGGCAACAATCAGATCAAGTATGTAACACTTCACTCAATCATTTGTCCCAGGTTCTGTGGTCATGACAACACATGGAAATTTATATTTAAATCATGACAACTCTGGGAAGAGTTTTTGCTTGTTAATGTATTTGGTCTTGGCAGACTAGATCTACAAATTGAAATTGAAAACTACAATTTGACGATTCAAATATAACTTTTTCTAGCTATGCCCTGAGCTCTATTTTCTTTTTAATATTAAACATGGCAGCAGTTTCAGATAAAACATCTCAAAAAGGGTCTAAACTTACTGTTGGCTCCATTTTTGCCAATGAGATGTCTATGGAAGCGTTGGTCAATGTTAATCTCTGCATAGTCCATTCTCGCCATCTAAACAAAGGGAAATAAAATACTTAAGGACTTCATCTAAACAGTATGTTTATATTACACAAATCAAGTCTAAAGCAGAAGAAAAAAAAACATAATAGCATATGTGAAATGATTTGGCGACCAAAATTTCCCTAACATTTTTAATATAGTTTTTAATCACATTTTGATCTGTATTTTAACAGAAATAAAGAAAAATAATAATAAGAAGATATTCAAATGTTCTCTGACCAGGTCGTTGACGATCTCCTGTATCTGAGCCTGGGCTTGCTCTACCTCCTCCGTCGGTCCCTCCAGACTGATACGTTCCTCTCCATCAGTAAACTCTATATGAACCTAGTGATGACAAACAGTCACAAAACCATTATTTAGGGCCTTTTGCTTATGATTATTCTTAATATTAATGCTTTTTATGTGATAGAATGTATTATTATTCATTATTCAAGGATTTAGACATTAAGAAATACAGTGCTGTAGGAATGAGTCCTAAAACATAGCATTTTTGCACTTCATTGTGTGTTGTTGTTTTTTTTTGCTTAATTACCTGAAATAAGGTCTGTAGTTAACACAAGTTCAAGATATTTTCACAGTTTATTCTATGAAAGAATATACATAATCAGTAATACCCACTTTTATGTGTCTTGAAAAAGGCAGTTGCTAACATGTGTAGTTGTAAACCTAGTCATTTTGTGTTTATACTCATGCTGTAGCCAATGTAAATTAAATGCTGCAGTAAATAAAGATTGACAGAGTTGTGAGAAGCTTAGTTGGGCTGACGCTGATGTTGTGTGACTGTGGTGTAACAGCTTTTTATATATGTTCATTGTATTTAGGCATCAATGTTGTTCTTTTTTGTGAATATTATCTTGATCAACAAATTTTTTTTTTTTTTGTGGTAACCAATGTGATGCTAGCTTTCGGGTTGGCTTATAAAAACATGTCATCCCCGACTGAGCATTCTATTCTCAGTTCTCACTTGCCATACTCTATTCTAGTGTCTTATAACACTGAGTTCTTCTCATTTCGCTTTTTAATACCTTAGGCAGCTGCTGTGTAATGCGACCGATGTTCTGTCCTTTCTTGCCAATGATGAATCGATGGAGCCAGGCCGGAGCAATCACCTCCACCACAATCACACTTTTAGCCTGCAGAATGAACAAAGTGCCATGTGAAAAGCTGCCTTTGCATTCTATTAAAAATATGGCCATATAATAATTGTGGATTTACACAAATCTATATCTAATACATCTGACCTTGGCGTACACCTGCGTAAGAGCCGGACCCAGCTTATCCGGTTCCCCTCTGAGGATGATGGTCTCCGATGCCGAGTCCAGAGGAGGCATCTCCACAGACACCCCCGTGTTCTCCAGGATCTCCTGCAGGGTGTTGCCTTTAGGGCCTACTATGTACTTATGTTGTGACTTCTTCACCTCCACTGAGATTGTGGTCGTTTTTCGTTTCTGCTTGTAAATATTAAGTAGGAGGTCAGGAAACGTCACCGGAAACATATTTGCATGCGTGTACAGAAAATAATGTAATTAAAATACAATATACAATACTTTCAAACGTTTTTGAAATAAGCCTCTTATGCTTAAACGTTTAGTAAAAGCAGTAAATCTTAATATTATTACAATTTATATACACACACACACATACAATATTATATGCAACTTTTCTATTTGAATACATTTAAAGTGTATTTTATTCCTGTGATGGCAAAACTGAATTATTCCAGTCTTCAGTGTCACATTAACCTTCAGAAATCATTCTATTCATATTTATATTAATGTTGAATATAGTTGTGCTGCTTAGTATGTTTATGAAAAGAGAACAACATTTCTTTATCAGGATTCTTAGAAAGGACAGCATTGAACAAGGACAGAGAAATTCAAAAGGACAGAATTTATAACTACTGACCCCAAACTTTTGAACGGTAGCGTAATTAAATCACCTTCTCTTCATAGGTGGCCCGAATGCGTGCAATCGCCATGGCAACCGCTTCCTTCTCGCCGGTAATTACAATCTCATCTTTGGGAACGCTGGGTGGTGGGATGCTAATACGAGCTCCGGTCTCTTGGCTCAGCTCATGAACAAGTCGATTATATGCACCGGCGATGAATGGATGAAAAGATTTCTCAAAAGACAAACGTTCCACGGCACGCTTATCCTGAAGCAGACAGTGAGGACATGATAAGGCTGATGGAATGAAATATAAAACCTCATCTCATATACCTTTAATGGTTACCTGCTCTGCAGAGATGAGCTGGATTTCATGCCGAGCTTTTTCTATGCCTTCCTTGGTGCCGGTGATGCGGATGTTGGCGTTGGGATCGTCAGAGCGAGGGATGGCGATCTTGGTGGCTGTTTTCAGCTCCAGTTCCTGCAGCTTCTCCCCATTTTTCCCAATCACAAATCGATGATGATCTTTTGGAATAAGCACAGTCGCTGAGGCCTGAGAAGTTTAACGTTAAAGGGTTAGTTCACCTAAAAATGAAAACCAATCGTCAAACTAAATTGAATAGACCTTGTAGCCCCGCCCCCTTTCAGAACTGCACTCGTTGTTGTGTCTTGCGCTTTGTATTCCTACAGCATGACGGTAAGATCTTACAGATTGATGAATGATTTCTAGGACCCTAAAATGTTTTAGCATTTTATAGCAGTTACTATTCAATTCTGTATTTACATTATTATTTTTCTGGAATGATTTAGCAGCTTAATTGTATAAATTTAAAGAACCCATGTAGTCAATAATTGTATCCCTTAAAACTCATCTTTGATCACCAAAACAACATATTTAGATGTTTTTTGCCTGTGAAAAAAAACCTTCATACCTTAAAATAGCTTGAATGCAACTCTACACCCTTGCTTCATTTAGTACGCTGAATCATGAATATGCAAATTAGCCCCGCCTCCACTCACACCGCCTCACAGATTCACTCCGCCAACTTACTGAGATAAACGCTCTTTACAACGTCAGACACATAACAGTAATTAATATGATTGGCCTTTTGCTTGACTATGTTATCAAACAGCTAATAATGTGTTGCTAATGTTACACAAACCATGTTCCTGTTCGTCATCTCAGAGTCAAACAGCTGCCTTTTAACATTCATCAGAAACGCTTTGAACAACTCAGAACATCAGTAGAGAAAGTCATTTAGTTGATCTTAACCTTCAAATGATCTTCGTTTCCTGTTTACACTTCTGGGCTTCAGGGTCTATACGACCCCAACAATTGATTGAGTAATTGTACAAAAAAATATACATTTTTAATCATACAAATAATATATCTTCTTTTTTTGTTTACTTCTCATCTATTCTCATGCTGTGTTTTTGGAGATATAAAGTACTTTTGTATCCATATACCACACAATTCCTCAACTACACCATTAGCTTTAGCATTAGCATATGAAATATTATTTTTTTATGATGTATTGCATTTATGCTCTAGTACTGTTCATTCATGTTTATTTGATGCTATAAATGAACTAGAAGGAAGAGATGGTCGATTCACTAGCAGCTTTAACTAGTGCTCTACAGCGATCTGTCACAACACATTAAAGAGCCACAAAACTGTATTGTTCAAATTTCTTTTAAAAAATGACAAAATTTGAAAGGTGAGACTTCGTTTAATATGTTAAATATCAAAAGTAACCGAAAAGTAACCTGGTCTGTCCTGTCTGGCAGCGTGTTGTCAGTCTCCTCTCTGCTCTGCGATGTATTATTCACTGTGTGAGAACATGGTGTGCGTGTGAGAGTGCCGTAGCCTGTCGGACATAGCGACAGTAACTAAGGTGGGCGGGTCTTTGTGAAGGGTCAATTGGTTAGGTGGCGGCATAACAAAAAACTAGGATCCTAGAACTGCAGTCCTGAAACTGCTTCCGGTTTTGCAGGAATATAGTATTGGGTCTACTGGTATCCGCTTCAAACATTACAATGCTCATGATACCTTTCGCAACACTCTTCAATAAGTTAATCCAATTTACCAGCTAATTACTCTTTGACAGCGATGCCATAGAAATATCCAGAGCTACCACAAAAACAGAAGATGAAAAACAAAATTCTGAAGATGGCTGTGTGCTCTCTTCTCTGGCACATACGGTCTATTAAGAAAAGCAAGAATCAAAAAACACCTGAGTCTGCAGTCGGGCCACAATCTCCTTTCTCGCTTTCATGACCGAGTCCAATTTTCCAGTCACCATGATGGAGAGGCCTTGGTCCTTGGCAAGCGAGAGTTCGATATGTGCTCCTGTCTTCTGCATGATATCCAGGCACACTTTCGCCTCCTCACCCTCACCAAACTGACTGTTGTCTTTATACCGCCTCTCCTCCAGAGGGACATGGAACACCTGAAAGTGTGAAAGGGGAAAAAGACATTTTTTCAGATGTCTAGCAGCTTATTCACAAACAATCTGTATATAGTAATAATAGTCACCTGAGTGATGACAGAGGCTTTGATGGGTCGGATTTTGCTCCAGGCACCGGCCGGCTCACCCGTCTTCTCTCCTGGACTGCCCTTGTCTGGCAAAGGTGGAAAGGCCTCCAGATAGGTGGGTATATAGGCTTCATCCTCTGGCACTCTACCTAATAACAGGCAATAAGAAAAGAAGGAAACACTTTATTTTAGAGAGTATTTGTTACATTACATGTACATGGACTGTAGTAATAACAGTAAATGATACATAATTATGTGCAACTAACCGTAGAGCAAGTTTGGAAACATTACAATTTATTAATGTTTTTGTAAGTAGTCTTATGCTCATCAAGGGTACATTTGTATGATCAAAAATACAGTAAAAATAAATACATTTAGTAAAAAGGTAATACTGTGAATTATTATTACAATGTAAAATAATTGTTTTCTATTTTGATCAATTTAAAAATGTATTAAATATATTAATGTGATGACAAAAATGTTTATCATCATTATGCGAGTCTTCAGTGTCACATGATTCTTCAGAAATCATTCTAAATATGCTGATTTGCTGCTCAAGAAACATTTAATATTATTATTATCAATTTTAAAAAAAGATTTTGCTGCTTAATATTTTTGTGGAAACAATGATACCATTCAAACATTTGTGTTAAAAAAAAATAGAGAAATTAATACATTTATGCAGCAAGGGTGCATTAAATTGTTCAAAAGTGACTGTGAATACATTTAAAATGTTGCAAATGGCTTTTGTTTAATATTTTTTTTTATAAAATTTAATACATACATTTAATTAATTGAAAATAAATGCTGTCGATTGATATAAATATGTATACACATATAGACTAAATGCTTTCTATTCATCAAAAAATCCTGAAAAAAGTATCACCATTTCCACAAAGAATTAACCAGCACATCTGTTTTTAACATAATAATAAGAAGAAAAAGAAGAAGAAGAAATGTATTTTTCATTATTGATTATAAACAGTTTTATTGATTAGTTGTTGCAGCCCTCTTTATATTTCCTGCCATTACACGAGATTAATTGTGGTACAAAAAAAAAATGTTTCACCCCTAATTTCGCTACAGTCGTCATACCCGTGTTCTCAAAGTCCTTCAAGCCACTGCGGTGCTCCGCAAAACTCTCCTGAGTCAACACTGCCACAGAGCTCATGTTTCAAGACCTGATCCGCTATCCTGTAGAGACCAGAAGGAAGAGGAGGGACATGTAGGAAGATATATAGAAAAACAAAAAATATAACAGCAGAGAATATCTAGTCCAAAAACACAGCCTTAAAGGATTAGTTCACACAAAAATGAAAATTATGTCATTAATTCCTCACCCTCGTGTCGTTCCAAGCCCGTAAGGATTTCGACAAGGAGGAAGACTTGCATTTTTTTGCCCAGCCATATTTATTTGAACCCAGCAGCGTCATACATCATCAGTGTCACTATGGACTCGTGTGGACTTGCGGATTGATAACAGAACCGGAAGACAATACAATGCTGAATAAAGTATTTTTTTTATTTTTTTTGGGGACCAAAATGCCCAATGTCCATGTCCAAAATGTTTTCAATGCTTCAAAACATTCGACCTAACCCACTGATGTCACACGGCCTTGGGATGACATGAGGGTGAGTCATAAATGACATCACTTTCATTTTTGGGTGAACTAACCTTTTTATCAAAATGAACTATAAGAGCATAGCAGTAACAAACTACTTTTTTTAGACTGATAAAGTGCATGCAGACTCAGAGCTCAGTATTCTCTGTGGTTTCAGCAGCCCAGCAGGGCCTCGACACACACTGGCATCTCCCTGAGCCCAACAGCATCTCTCTACACCTGAGCTCTCCAATTAAACACACTGCAGCTGTGAAATCTGATGAAAAGCCTTAGGGCTGTCAAATCGATTCATTGCATCTAATATAAAAGTTTGTGTTAGTATATTATATGTGTGTGTATTATATTATCATATTATTATATTTATATGTACACACACACACACACATATATATATATATATATATATATATATATATATATATACAAGTCACATATTACAAATTGAATGTCAGATGTGATTAATTAATATGTTAAAAATATATATTGTCTAATATCTTATTTGAAAAATATTTGGTTATTTATTTACTAATTTATTTACTTATTATACAAAAAATATCATCTATTTATTTAAAAATTGGGTTGACTGATTTTGATAACATTTTGTTTTTTATATTAATCACATTTAAATATATTTTTTATTTTATATAATTTAAGCTTTTATTTTTTTTTTATAAACCTCTAAACCTTCCATGGAGCTCTATGAAACCCTTAGCGGCCTCCTGGGGGTTGCCAGAGCCCACTTTGAAAGGCCCTGATCTAAAACAAGTTGAATTGCAAAGGAAAAAGATGCGACAATTAAAATAATATGATATTTTGCACTGAAAGTCACATTTTCAGTAAAAGGTTCTCGGGAAATATCTAAATTGCACACATGCATAAAAAAACAAGTTGTATTGAATTCTTTAAATGTGTGCAACATTCTTGGCAGCTTTTTTTTTTTTTTTTGCTTTCAAAAATGCCTTCATATCACCATAATACAAAGACAGAAAATTTCCACCCACCTGCAAAGGGTCGAAAACCAGAAAGTCCGTCCAGGTGGATGCTACGTAGAACTCTTCAGTGTCAAGTGTGTTCGTTCAGCACTGTGTGGGTGAGGTTAACAAAGAGAGTGTAACCCGCCTTGTGTTTACATACACAGCATAAAAAAACAGCATCTTGTTGCAAGGCCCTCTGAGGTTGACCAGGGAGAGGGGCCACAGTCACAGTGGTCTGTCCTGTGGGAGGCAATAGCTAGATGTGGTGCTAAGGATAGTCTTTACTTTACTCTCAGGTGACTATAGGTGTTAATTGGTGTGTGGGTGTTTGTGCTTACTGTAGTGACGGCAAAAATACAGACACACACACATTGTATTTACACATGGGATTGGCACATTTTATACATGCCCATTTAACACCCAGTGAGAGGCAAATTACCCATGTAGTAGAATAATACAAATCATAGTAATAATAGTGATTTGGGTTATTATAGGCTGACATTTGACATTCGTCATTGTCTAACATTGTGAAGATCTATTTGCAAAGTTTACGAGTGGGTAGAGGGGGGAAAGCCCTTACACGAAGTTGTCATTTAGACCTATGCAAGCCACAAATGTTTATACATAACCTGCATAATTAATTAATATCACATCAACATGCAATTCTAATTTTAATTCCTTTTTTGGCCATTAACATACGATCTAAATGCTTATAGCAGGCTCATTGCATGATCCATATCTGCAAGCTCGGTGCAGAAGCAGATCTGTGTAAGTTAAACAAATACTAACGTTACAGGAGCAGGCTAACACAAGCTGACATGTAACAGCGCAATTGCCAGTAAAACAGCTATTAGAACCTCGAATATCAAAGTGTGGTAGATGTGTTCTTTCTGTATCGTGTTGGTAGTCAGTTGTAAATATTCTAGCTTGCAGAATATATGTTCTGAATATCTGAGTTTAGCTGGTCAGCTAAATCATGCTACATGTAACAGCTCGTTAACAAAGATACTGTCTATTTCTCTTTTAAATACGATCATCTGATTGCAGAAAACGCGGATATGTTCGTTCCGTCAACAAAACGGTGCGATAAGAAGCACGTCTACGGAAACAAAAACAAGTGATCACCTTATCAGACGGAAAAGCCTAGCCGCTGATCTTCTGACAGTACACTGGTGCTGAGAGTCGACTCTTTAATTGAATCGAATCCTTGATTCAGGAATTATCATTTTTAAGATGTAAAAAAATGTGTATTATTTTTTATTTTTGTTTGATTTTTTTGTTAATTGTTTATATGTGGTGATAAATGTTAAATCATAAAAGCAGATAATTATTTTATTAAAACAATTATTAATTGTAAAATACTGGTGTACAATTTTATATTTATTTTGTTGCTTTCACGAACCTTAATTTCAGTTTTATCAATGTAGAATAAAAAAGTCCTTCCTGTAGTGTATATTATACTAAAACAATATGTCCTTATTTTGTACATAATTGACGTGATTATCCTTGCCATTATACATTTCCCTCCTCATTCCTCTAGTTCAAAAGAACAAAACAGTCAAATTTGTTATTAGACTGTGGAACAAAACAATGATATATTTTGGACATAAACTATTTTGTATTTACAGGGTTAAAAACAAAACATTCAGGATTTGCTTGTTTCACGCACCCACCTGTTTTTCAAAATAAAAGACCGTCAGAGAACGTCAGTGTTACTGTAAACTAATTTTAAATCCTGTCGTTTAAGTAATATTTTACCCTGTTTATGTTTGTTTATTAAACCGTTTTACTCGTTGGAAAACGGCCATTTCCTAAACTGTTTGGTTTTTATATTGTAACTTACAAACTTCCCTACCCTAAACATAGGCCTGTAACGTTACATCACACAGCAAACTGCATTATTACTTTTTCAAAAAAACAAAAACAAAAACATCAATGATTTCTAAGAGATTTCATAGGGGCCAAAAAATACCCACAAGGACAAAGATTTCGTATTTTACCATCTTTGTCCCCATAACGCTCAATAGGGTATTCCCTGGGTATTCCTGAACCACACGCACACACACACACAGAGAGAGAGAGAGAGAGAGAGAGAGAGAGAGAGAGAGAGAGAGAGAGCGCTGGGTGGCAACTAAAGGAGGGTGTGCTCTGTGCAGGCAGGAATGGTATGGGAAAGAATTGGGATGGGAGGAGGGGTAAGCACTAATCACACTGTCTCTGTCCGGCTGTTCCTACACACATGCTCACGAGCAGGAAAACAAAGAGCCGGAGATGCGCGTGGATTTACCGGAGAGGACAACAAAAGAGGAAAGACGAAAGTAACGTCTGTTCAAATCCGCACGGATATGAAGTTAGCACAGGAATGTGGCGATCTGTTGCTGTCATTTTAAAGAAATGTATTAACATGGATATCTGTGAAACTAGTATGTGTTCATGTGCACTGTGAGAGTTACTCCACACGACTCAAATGTTTTTGTTTTTATGAGGAAATTTACTCTTGACACATTTCATCAATTCGCTTTTTATAATGGATTATACAAGAAAGTGAGACACATTTGGTGAGTAGGGTCTGTGTGATTTTTGTAATCAACTCCTCACCTGTGATTATAGTAGGCTGTATATTATGTACTGCATACCTAGTGCTACATGTTTACCATATTCAGATATATAAATGTCTACTAAATTAATGACAGGTTCAGTTACTGCATGTTACATTAACATCATTCAGTTTACACAGCAGATCATTGTTAGTCACGTCAACATAGTAGGAGTATTGACTTTTGGACTAATCTTTATTATTTCATTAGCACATTTTTTTTCCATTTTTTCCCCACTCATTTTCTACTTTTTTATATACAGGCAGTTGCAAATAGCCTTTGTGTGTGTATATTAAATGTTTGTGATGAATATCACAACACCCCAGTGTATCTAAGGAATTTGGAAGCAAAGCCAAGGTTCATAACAGGAAAGTAAAGGAGGATTCCGATCCCAAGATTGTTTATAGATTGGAGGGGAAGTGTCTTGTACACACACACACACACACACACACACACACACACACACACACACACACAAAACCTGACCATCATTGAATACTTGGGTGTCCTGTTTGAGGGGATGTTTACTGTAGTTTAAAATATCAGAATGTAAAAAATGAATAAGTATTACCATCCTTTTAATGGGAACTAAAATCCCTTCCTATTTCACCCCATGGGAAAGTGTTTATTTTTGGCATTGTGCAATGTTGAGCTTTATGTTGAGGATATCAGATTTGAGCACACTAAGAACCTGACAGACCTGCTGAGTTTGTCTCAGGGGTGAGAGTCTAGTGAAGTCAGTGAAGCCAACGTTCAACCTGAATAGTTGATACGGGAAGTCTTTTTGACACACCCTTTCCTTTATAATCCTCAGATTGGGTTTTCCAAGCCAAGAAAATTTACATAATGAAGTTATTAAAATGGTTTTGTGTAGTTTTACATAAGGGGGTAATAACCATAAAACGATAAACAACTAATTGTGTGGTTTAAATCCCATCATGCATTTCTAAGACGTGCATAGTCTTTTGGAATCCGAATGGGTCAAAGTACATGGTTCTTACTGTAAACATGACATGCAAGCACATTTTCAGCATATTTCTAATATCCTGTTTCACAGATTGGAAATTTATCTCATATTTTATTCAAAAGTCTGACTGTTGCCTGTAAGAGCAAAGTCAACGTAGTTGAACCTGAGGTAATTCCAGCACAAAGATCATTGTCCTTTTTATTTTAATAAATGAGTTACTTGATAATCATTACATCAAATGTTTTTAATAGCTCTAACAAGGTTGCAATTACAACCTAGGGATATGAAACTGAAAGAATAAAAACTAGGGTTGGACGAAATGTTGTTATCATATTATTTGCTGATATTACAGATTTTCTTTAATTTATCGTATTGGCAATTTTGGATATGTGCATGATTTGTTTTGTACATTTTAGATTACCTTTGCCTTCATCCAACGTTCATGTTGATTCTTTAAAAATATATGAATAATTTAATAACAATGTTAAATGTGTTAAAACTATTTTTTTTATTCTATATATTACAATATAGAGATGTCCAATTAAATAACGTACATAACTAAAAATGACTACTTATGTTTAAAGTGTTTTTAATTTATTTGGACAAAGCTCTACAAATAACGTAAATTTTAAAGGCGGCATGAAATGAAGATTCACTCCATCTGTTTAATTTTGATAAATTTGGATCTTGTAATGTTTAATCAAATTGTCATATCTGGATCTTTCCAGTGCAAACCACCATTTATTCCAGTGATGTATGACTTCTCCAATCATTTTACCTGCTTATTAAACCCTGCCCCTGCAAGTTCATGTTTCAAATTCAATGCACAACCTATGGCATATTTTTTCGACAACCTGTTACACACTGATGTACGCCACAATATTCAAGAAAAGATCTGTTGCTACATCTGTGTTAAGACGTTCATCTTCCCCATGTATAACTTCAAAATAAATATAAGTTCATCAGTATCAGACAGAATTGTAATATCTCTAATGAAAACATTTCAGTGTCAGATGATCTGGGATTGGTCAAATGGAAAAATATGCATCGGTCATTTGTAAAACGTATTGTTTGTTACCACAGGTTGAAGATTGAAGCCCCTGGGTGACCCTGCTTCCTGGCCTCATATTGGCCAGGTTGCTTTGGTTTAAAACATCAAAACCAGTTAAGATGTCTACTCAAGAGTCTCCACCTCTGCCTACGAAACCTGAGGTTAAACAAAGACCCCCGGTTCCCAGCAAGCCCTCCAATAATACCCCAGACACATCATCCGTGGAAGGAGCAGCCTCACAGAGCTCCGGGAAGGTCAAAAATATAGTCAACAAATTCAGCCAGCCAGAGTCTAAGATTCCAGCTGGAGAGACAGCAAAGAGCACCAACATAGAACGGAGACTACAAAAACCTCCTGCAATTAAGCCCAGGCGCAAAACGAGAAGTTCGTCCCTCTCCAGCGCTGACCGGGCACCTCCTCTGCCTCCAAAGAAAAGGCAAAACAGTGGACAGAAAGACGAGGTGGACAGCCAAGAGAGACTAGAAGGAACATCGAGTGCTGTCGATGGAGGCCGATCAGGTACAGTGGTTTTACTTTCATTTTCAGGAACTTTTTACCCTATACTTCATTGGAATATCTATGCTTTTCTTTCTCAAAATTCAGTCTCAAAGTTAGTGGTCGACCCATAGTTGACATTTTTTTAATTATCCATTTCAGTTATTTGGCATACTCAAAATCTGCATTTGAACAAGTCTGTTAAACATTTCCACAACCACTGTATCCTCTACAAGAACAAAATAGTCTTTGCATAATTTCTGTGCGAATGATCCAAGGCGTGTGAATTGGATGACTTTTGCTGTCACTAGACATGCTCAAGCAAGCAATTTCACACTACTGCACAAAATCCAAGTTCCCACATGACAAATAATATGTGTACTATCATATCATGTGGGTAGTGTTCATGTATCATGTGTCAATTTGGGCAATACCAATAATTCTTTATTTAGAAAGCCAACAACCAATATATATTTTTAGTGATTACAAAAATAAAATTTTCACCACTAAAATCCATGTCCCAAGCACACAATTGTAATGTTCTCAGTATAATTGTATGTACTGTAGCTTATATGACAGACTTGTGCAGCACATGTTGCACTTAACTGTATTTTACTTTTCGAAATGATTCCAATCATATTTCAAGCATTTCAAAGGGAAGGGATTTATCGGCTTTAATTTATCAGACACATTTTCTTATTGTGCTGATACCGATAACATTAAAACGAAAACAAATAGTATATATATATATATATATATACACACAGTATATAACATAAATATACAAAGACAATGTCTATAAATGTAATCTCACGATAACATGTTGTGTATTTACTTAAAAAAGTTTTTTGTAATGATATATATATATATATATATATATATATATATATATATAAATAAATAAATAAATAAAGTTGTCCTCTGAGGGCGTGGGGGGGGGGACCCAACATATATCAGACGATACCGATATCGATGGCCGATACATTGCGCATCCGTAAAATTGATAGATTTTTCCAATTATTGAATTCCTATTATTTTTGTAAATATTATGTCAAATAAATAAATATAATTGCAATCCTTGT